GGTAGCCAGTATAGGCATGTCCAGCCATGCCGTAGGGTGGTTTGTGAACTACCTCTCTGAAAGGTCCCAATGTGTTCACTTTGATGGGCTGTCTTCTGAGTGGTTAAACATTGCTAATGGTGTTCCTCAAGGTTCTGTTTTAGGTCCACTTTTATTCTCCATATATATCAACAGTTTAGGTGAAAATGTGGATGAAGCTACTTTACATTTTTATGCGGATGATACCGTGATGTACTGTGCAGGTCCCTCCATTGAGGAGGCTGGTGTTAAATTACAGGATGTTTTTAACATTATTCAGACTCATCTCTCTGAACTAAAGCTTCTTTTAAATGTTGATAAAACCAAGGTAATGCTCTTTTCTAAAGCTAAAAAGACACCAGAGCATGTTTTAGATATTGTAACTACGCAAGGAATAAAACTTGAAGTGGTTACCTGTTACAAATACCTTGGTATCTGGCTTGATGATTGTCTCACTTTGAAACTTCATGTCAATAACCTGCTTAAAAAGCTGAGGGTTAGGCTAGGTTTCTTTACAGAAATAAGTCCTGTTTCTCGCTTGAGGCCAGGAAAAGGCTAGTCACTGTGACCTTTTTACCTGTGCTGGACTATGGTGATTTGATGTATATGAATGCACCTGCCAATTGCCTGGTCAAGTTAGATGCTGCGTATCACAGCGCACTGAGATTTGTGACAAACTGTAAAGCATTAACCCATCACTGTACCCTGTATGCAAGGGCTGGTTTGCTTTCACTAACTGTACGGAGGCTCAGTCACTGGTACATTTTGATTTACAAAGCCATGTTAGGGAAACTTCCATCCTATATCTGCTCCCTGATCTCACGGCGAATTGTAAGTGGCTACTGCCTGAGATCGAATGCTGTGGTTTTATTAAATGTGCCAACTGCTAGGACTGTCTTAGGGAAGACAGCTTTTAGATGCGCAGCTCCTCTGTCTTGGAATAATCTGCAATTGAAATGGAAACTGAACAATCTGGTGCCACTAAATGTTTTTAAAGCTCGGTTGGATGCTAGTCAATCGGAAGCTATTGGTACCTGTTTATGTGGATAATTATGTAAATGATGCTGTATGATGTCCTTTTGTTGTTCTATTTATGTTTTTATGTTTCATGTGGAACTACTTGAGCAGGTCTCCCTTGAAAAAGAGATCAATGATCTCAATGGGATTTATCTGTCTAAATAAAGGTTTGAAATGAAATGAAAGCCGAGTACATGGCATTAGCGGCTACTACTCAAGAGAGCATGTACCTTGTACAGTTATTAAAAGGGGTAGACCGTAATAGCCCACATGTACCAGTGAAGATATATGAGGACAACCAGGGAGCAATAGCTCTATCAAAAAACCCTGTATCCAGACCGAGAAGCAAGCATGTAGACATCAAATATCATTTTGTACGATCTGCACATGCTGAGGGGAAGATATCTATTACATATTGTCCTACTGCAGATATGGTAGCTGATGTCCTAACCAAGCCGTTGACAAAGGCACAATTTGACAAGTTCAAAGGGTATTTGTTTGGAGAGTAATGTGAATTGCAGGTGTAAAAATTGAACACTGCTAGAGAAGCTTTTGTTTTGTTTATTTGGATTCTGTGTACCACTGAGTTATCAACATGACTTTGAGTGGGAGTGTTGAGCATATTTGTATAAGAACAAAGTCATGTTTCAGTTCATGTGTATGACATCATCAGAATGTGCCTGAAACGTGGTGATGCTAATGAGCATGCACAGTTACAATAAACGGCCCAGTACTCCAGGCCAAACTCTGAGCGATGTGGTCGTGTGTTTCTTCTGTCCGTTAGCATACTTACAAGCTACTTTGGTTGACTGCAAACGTGGAGACTTCTGCTGAATATAATGTCTCACGCAACACGTGTTACGCGAGGAGTACGGAGACTCAGACCTGTGTCACGCGCACTGGCGCCTCAGTGGGATTTGGCTTTGGTGTTATGCGCACTAAGCAAAGCCCCATTTGAACCTTTAGACCAGGTTCCCCTTAAACTGTTGTCAGCCAAAGTAGTATTACTTTTGGCTCTATCAGCGAAAAGGGTGAGTGATTTGTCTGCTGATCCAAGGGGATGGCAGTTCAGCTGTTTTACGCCCTAACCCGGCCTTTATGCCAAAGGTCATCACAAGCTCTTTTAGAGCGAGAGTGATCACCTTGGATGGCTTATTCCCCCCTCCTCACAGGTCGGAGGAAGAAGCTGCGTCTCATCTCTGTCCTGTGCGCGCGCTGTCTTGCTATGTGGCGCGCACGGCGGCCTGGCGCCGTTCTCAGCGCCTGTTTGTGCACTATAGAGAGCGCTCGTTCGGGCAGCCTCTGTCTGCACAACGGCTGTCACACTGGCTGTGTGAAGCCGTGTCACAGGCATATGTCTCCTCTGGGGTGGATCCCCCGGAGAACATCAATGCATACTCCACCAGAGGAATGTCCTCCTCCACGGCTTTGCACGGAGGAATGTCGGTGGAAGACATTTGCACTGCTGCATCTTGGTCTTCCCCCTGTTCATTTACTCAATTGTATTTGAGGGATGTCTCCCATTCCTTTCTGACACACCCTGTACTGGGTGTCCTGTCAGAGTGAGTGATGTCAGGGATCCAGCTGTGCGCCTCTCTCCTGCCTGTCTACACGCAGAGAGCTGCTGTTCCCCCTCTTTTGTCACTGGGCAAAGTGTGATCTTCGTCTCTACTTTCTCACAGCGGCAGTATTGTTCCCAGCCTTCGTCCCCTCATGGAAAATATTCATGTTATGCTATATTCCAGGGACTGTGATGCGCCATTATTACGCATGGCGCAATAGGCATGGGTTATTATCTGAGCAGGTGTGTCTGTGCTTCTAGTACCAGGCGGACCCAGTGGGGCGCAGACTACATCATGCTTCGCCCTTAACCCAATAGCGATAGCTTCACCCCCTAATCGCACCAGGAGCGTCTGCGCTGCATTGCGGCGTTTTTAGCGATCACGGCCACTCTAGTCAATGGGTGCTATTCCACCAGACACGCTGCGCCGCGGCCCGAAGCGTCCCAGAAGCTCCTCGCCGCAAGGAATTTCTAAAATATAGGATGAATCCTATTTTTGACGCGGCGCAGGCAGGAAGTGGAATGTTCATCCAACAACTGCGAGGCTGCACACAAGACGCTCCGCTTCCGCAACGTTTTGAAACGCGCCTGGTGGGTTAGGACGCAGGAGGAGGTCGCAGCGCAGCCGCAGCGCAGACGCTCCTGGTGCGATTAGGGGGTTAGAGGGCGAAGCCATATACAAAATAGAACTGAAGTTTCCTACTGTAACTCCAGCTTCTATGAGTATTGGCGTAGCCCTCTAAGTGCTGGGCCCCACTGGCTCCACGAATAGCTGAAGAAAAGTTATTTTGTATGGGAGCAGATTGTCGGGCCTCCTTCCTATTTATACCGGAAGGGAGCCCACCTTGCGGGTGGGCGTGGACTACAAGTGTTTCAGTGCTGCGCGGGTGCACAGGGGGATTACCCAATAGCGATAGCCTTAGAGGGCTACGCCAATACTCATAGAAGCTGGAGTCACAGTAGGTAACTTCAGTTATGCCTGCTGTGACGTCAAGTTACTCCGTTCTCCGCTTGTAATTATGTCGTTACAAGCTTCAAAGTTGTATTTATCATCTGAATTTGCCGAAACAAGTTTAATATTCTGAAAGCCAAGACTTTGTTTAGGCCTATTTGAAATCAGATGAAAACAAACTGTAACGGACCCTGCCGTGTTATCTATGATTACTATATGCCTTACATTCATAATTTCAGCCGAGGGAGGAGGAGCGGCGCTGCGGAACAGCAGAGTGGCAAGTGAGAGGCGAGCTGTCATCTTCCCTTTACAAGCTTAAAAAATGTATTTATCGTGTGATTTTGGAAATAAAAGTTTCATATTCTGAAAGCCAAGACTTTGTTTATTTAAAATTTGAAAAAAACACCCGATTGTTGTTGTTGTTGTTGTATTGGCTCATGATAGGCCCCCGATCTCCGTAGGCCCCTGGGCTTCAGCCCAGGTCAGCCCGTGCATTAAGGCGGCCCTGCCAACAAGAGTCACAAGGGTGTGTCACTTTGCTAAAGGATAGTTGTGACCAGCTATCAAGGCCAGACTCTAAGACTTTCCAAGGGGTAACAATGCTGCTGCTGGAGTACTGACTGACTGGAAGTATTGCTGATATCATGTCTACCATATCCTCTTAAAATACTCTGTCCAATAATATAAGTCTCATGAAGAAAGGTGTTTTAATGCTGATTCAAAATAGCAGAGAAACATGCATTCTTGTTCTCAGGAGGGGACATTGACAGAGGATTACTCAAGAAGTACACAGTAAAATTACTACTTCATAGTAGCCTACTTGTGGGAGTAGTTTCACTACTAGCCTACTGAGTCCAACAGGATCGATCTCACGAAGAACTAATGGCATAAAAAATAATAACAAACTCGAGAGACGGCTGAGCTGACCGCAGTGCAGAATTGCTGCATAGTTTAAATCTCCTTACAATGTTGTCAATTTTAGACATAGGCCTATTATATTTACAGCCCTTCATAACCATTTTCTGGGCTCAATATGTGTCTTGGCTGTTTTCGTTGTGAAAACAAATGGACCGTAGATACACGGATTGACCGTCCTCATCTGAGCTTTTATTTTGTAAGGTAACTTCCGGTAGCAGAATATGAAAAACTGTAGTTTTTTGTTTCTGTTTTCTAGTGATTTTATTTTTTGTTTTGAGAAGTAGAAAATGAAAATCATCCCGTTTTTTTAAATGTAGTACCCAACCCTTTTTCACCATGATAAAGAAAAACGCCTTGTATTTCAATTTTGGTTTTTCAATTTTAAAACGAAAATTGAATATCCACTCCAGTGTGTTTTCTGATGGCTGTTTTCTCCTCAGAACCTCCTTGAAGAAGGTGGGGCTGTCCATTTAGTGGAAAGCTCACACCTGTCCCACACTACTATGACAGGTAAGAATTCAAATGAGTCGCAAAATACTACTAATAACAAACTTTATTCTGCAAGTCCAATCTGGATGTATCCCTTCTAATAAATAAGTGATGTGTACAATGAGTAAGTTTACACCATTAATTAACCATTTGCAATATATTTTCATCCTTGAATTGTGAAAATAACTGTAGACAGCTAATATAATGTCAGCCTGTTTCAGGTAAATGTGTGCATTTTGTCAGATGAATTGAATGACAATTGCAACGAGAACTGAATCACATGATTAAGAATAAGCCAAAACAGTCGAACTACATCTTAGCTCGTTTTTTAACCGGAGTTCAATAACTTCCTAAGACAAAAACCATGAGGGCAAATATATTTCCCAGCATTGTGCATCACTTTTAAGTGTCCCCTGGAAACAGTTTTCATTTCTCTTTATGCAGCTATCAACATTCATTTTTATTTTGCTTGTGTTTTGTCTATTTGCATATGTTTTATTTACAATGCATTGAGCTCTCAGGGCTACGAAGATACATTTCTTCAAAAGGTGTCACACCACCAGGTCTGTGTGACAGACATTTTCTAGCTTGGAAGTTAAGTGTTCATGCCACATATGTTCCATTGTTTGGCCTATGGTGGCCGGGAACTGAAAGAGCTGCTTATAAATAGTCCAAACTCAGAATATGGCTACTTCTTGAAACATGAAAAGGCACTTTAAGGCGGACATGTTTGGTCAAACCTCGGTTCATGATGTTAAATGTAACTTGGCTGCTGGAAACACAACACTTTACAATAATTCATGATCTTAAAGACATTTGTGAGTTTGATTGACAGCAAAGAACATTTTCTTCGGCATACTCATACAGTAACTTCAGATGGTGCGACCTACAATTAGTTGCAAGCACACAGTCACTCAACCTGCATGGCTCCAATACACAGAGGTCTGACTTCTCTCTTGTTTGACCTTTGCCCTTTGACACAGCCGAGTTTGACTGCTAAGTTTGCCTTTCAGGGGCGGTATGTTCCAATCCTGCAGGTCAGACATCCAGTTGCTGTCCATCTCACCCACAGAGGGACATTACTCTCAATAGTCTGTAGTGTGAGGCGGTTTGATGAAAATGCTCAGGCAGCAGAGAAGATGCAACAGATGTCCAGCAGAAGATGTTGATTAGTGTAAATCTCCTTTCATGTGTCTCCGTGGCTGTAAGGCAAAGTCCACTCTGGTACCGAGTGTTCTCTAGAAGCCCTGCTTGTGTTGTCCTCTGGACGTCTTTGCAATGTGTTCTTTTACAACCAAACATGATCATTCAGTCAGTATCTGTCCTGCTCTCGACTGTACATGTCCCTGGTCCATTTGATCATAGTCTCTGGAGATCGATAAAGGAAGATCAGTTTGGAGTAAAGTTCCTCTTCTAGCTCCAGCTCTCCAGTCTCACGCACCTGAATCACACAAACATGAGATGGTGGAAGATGATTACAAAGACATGATTTTCCAGTGCACTTACAGTAGCATGGCAACAAGTAGATTACTGTAGTTAAAGATCTGTTTCTTAGAATTTGAAAAATACAATACAATAAATGTGTGTACAGAATGTAAATGTTCACACACTGACCAGGAAGATGTCTGTGCAGAGCTTCAGGATGCGATCCACACAGGGCAGTTCCTCAAACATGATGGAGTGTGAGATCTCGCTGAAGAAGCCTCGCACAAACTTCCCAATGACTAAAACCACGGACACGTATAGACCCATGATCCTGGAGGGAGAGGGAAGAAAGAAGGACATTTACATCCAAGAAATAATTGCTCACAAATGAAGATGGTTATACTTTATTGTCAGATGACATATTGTTTCTCCATTTACAACACATGCAAACACAAACATTCAACACAATGAAAGATACCAAAAAGGTTTTATCAAACCCATGTATATATTTGTGATTGTGGGTTCTCTTACCCATATCCAGCCAGGAAACCCAGGCTGGGGGGGCTGACTTTGTCATTGAATATGACCATGGGTAGAACTCCACATGGGGAGGGGGCACAGTCTGCAATGGCAATGTCCCACCACTCCTGGTTCCCATTAAGTGACCTGTCACTCTTCAGGGACAGTGTGATGTTCAGGTAACCATCTTCATTACCTACAAGACAACACATCAGTTAAAGAAGACATTTGTATAAACACACAATGTACTGTACACCACTGTTATGTACTTCACTGTACTGTACTATACTTCTCGTGATTGTGCTGTTATGTTAAATGTTTGTTGTTTGTTTTTCATGTATTGAAAAATGTATGTATTTGGCTCAGTCAGAGGCGGCAGTGGCTCAGTCAGAGGCTCAGTCAGAGGCGGCAGTGGCTCAGTCAGAGGCGGCAGAGGCTCAGTCAGAGGCGGCAGTGGCTCAGTCAGAGGCTCAGTCAGAGGCTCAGTCAGAGGCTCAGTCAGAGGCTCAGTCAGAGGCTCAGTCAGAGGCTCAGTCAGAGGCTCAGTCAGAGGCTCAGTCAGAGGCGGCAGTGGCTAGGTCTGTAGGGACTTGGTCTTGGAACCGAAGGGTCACCGGTTCACGTCCCAATCGGACCAAAAAAAAAACGAGTGAGCTGGTAGCTGGAGAAATGCCAGTTCACCGCCAAGGTGCCCTTGAGCAAGGCACCTAACCTCGAAACTGCTCCCTTGGTGCTGGGTACCTGGCAGCCTCTCTGCTCTGCTACCTCTCCTATCTGCATGTGGTTGTGTGTGTGCATGTATATCCTCTGTGTGTGTAATGTGTGTAAACACAACAGAGTGGGGAAAGAAATGTCCCTGTAAGGGATGAATAAAGTATGTCTTCTTCTTATTGTGTCTTGATATTTGTCTATGTTGATGTTACACATGGAGCTGCTGTGATGAAAGTCAAATTTCAGACTTGATCTGACCATTAAAGTATTATCGTATTGTATACTAAAATGTACTGTACTGTAATTTACTGTACTGTAATATAATGTATAATAACCTCTGACCTTTGAAAAGTTGAGAGACTGGTTTGGCCTCAGCTCCATTGGGGGCCCGGATGTAGTTAGGGAACATATGAGGAACATGCCTGGGAAAGAGAACACAGCATGTGTAAGATATAACTACTGTAATATGAACTACAAACCATGAGCATCCTGTCAGAGTCAACCTACACAGGCTCAGTGCGGTTTCCAACCAGCAGTGAGGCCAGCTCTGCTCTGACTGGGTTCCCAGGCTCCAGGTCTATAGAGTGTTTGTAAAACGTGTGTTCCACTGTCCCTCCTTTACCCAGGTCCCTGTCAGAACCAGAGACATGCAGAGAGAAAGAGGGGTGAATAAAATCAGCCTTTAGAGACAAGAAGAAATACTAAGATACTCCTAGAGAGTGGGGTATGTTATTAGAGAGCAAAGGCTTTACCTCTGGAAAGTCCAGGCGAGACGTAGTGTTAGGTCCACTGGACTTCCAAGTAGTTCTTTAATGACTTCCTGTCTGCTGGGGGGGCTGATCCTCCACACAGATCCTGAACTACCTTCAATCATGGCCGTCACGATATCCTCATAACTGTAGAGCGTGATGAACTGCATGGCCACCTAAATGCACATACACACAAAATGATTAATTAAAAACAGGTATACAGAGAGGTGGCTACTCAAGTAGTGCACACACACACACCTTTCAGTTTGTTAACATACCATGTCAGAGTCATCAATGATGTTACAACTGAGCATTTGAAGAAATGTGATTCAAACTACTCTTTCTGAGGATCAGATCGTGCAGCAAAAAGATGACATTATCCATGGCAGATGCTTTTTTCCAAAGGGAGGTACAGTATATCAGTGAGGCTAATTGAGGGACATTCAGAGGCAGTATGGAAAGAGAGATAGAGTTTGCTATCCTCAACATTGCAGCAGTAAAATAAACCATGTGAGCAGATAAAGGGACCAAAGGGAGGTTGTGCATATGAAAGAAAGCGAAGGGGACCAAGCAGCCACCCTGGTGTTATCCCAGTAACAAGGAAGTGATGCCTCGACTTTCCTTTCTTGCCATCTTACTTTGAACAATCAGCAGGGACATTTCTGTCTTTATTTGATTACTTCTTCACAGCAAAGGCTAGCATTTAGTGCTATTTAAACTGATGAGTAAAACAGTCATTCTTGGTATTACAGATGAAACATTCATAACTCATTTACATTATATAACCTTGTGGTATTGAATTATTTTCCCTGGAGTCTATTTAAAATATATTGTGGAGTTGAACAAAACTCTGCAACTCAGATTTTGCACATGTTGAGTGATATAACAACTTGTTATAGTAATTTCCTGTATACATACACCTACACCTAGCTGGCAGAATTATAAGAAACTGATCTGATGATTGTTTATTTACATAAATGCTCAAACATCAGGAAAAACAGACAAGAGTGCATCCAGACATGCATTTCAATTAACTGAAATCAGTACGCACCGCATTGTCTCCAAATGTCTGGGTCATCTGGTCATATTCAGCCTCTGTGAAGGGCTGGATGGACTGCTGCTGCACACTCATGGTGAACAGGGACTAGACATACACAGAGGAAATGGTGGATTATGCAAATGTATATAATTTCACGCTGTGTCCTTTGCATTTTACACATGTACCTTTATTCTATGTGTCTGTATGTAGACTCAATAGAGTCCAAGCAACTGGATTGATTTCTATTTGTGAATCTTTGCACACTGTTACCTTACTTCTATGAGTATTCTAATGAAGGTCCAGGATCTATCAGATGTCCCACCTTCCTGGCAATTGTGCCTTTTGATCAAAACAAGTACAGTCTAAAACATACTTACAAAATTAAATAACTGTCTAATTTAAACGCCAATTTCCTATCAAAAATAATCCCTTTATGCTGCCAATTAATTGAACACTGCAGACTTTTTGATCAAATACAACATGTAGATGCAGCTGCTCTGCCGTAGCAGCTTTAAAAGAATATTTTGTTCTGCTTTAAGAGACGGTAAAAGACACTACTATAAAAGTCCATTACCTCGTATCCTCCCAGCTTGACGGTCACTGTGACATCGATGGGGTGGCTGACCACACCCACCACTGATCTGACCAATGAGATGAAGAGTAGAGGGAACCAGATGATGCAGATCAGGAAGAAGATGATGAGTCCACCCATGCCATATTTCACCATCTTCTTCTTCTTCTGTCCTTTGGGCTGTGGGTATTTCTGAGGGCAGAACATATTGTAATAGTATCAGATAAGTGCCCTGCCTTCAGCTTCAAAGAGAACGTGCTGTGGGGAAAGGGTCATATCAACCATTGATCACAGACAGTAAAGTGCGACATAGTATAAAACAAGGTGGTTATTCCTAGGATAATGAGCTCCTCATTTATCGCTGTTCTGGCTCGGTGTACAAATCCACATCAGTGTTGAAAGCTGAAGCTCAATTTGTCTGGAGTCTGCCAATTGATTACATTAAAACAGGACACCCATGTTAATGGTGTCAGTCATAGGAGCTTCAGTTGAAGTAAACAAGCCTTTATGTTTACAGAGACAGCAGCTAGTCAGTCTCTCCCTAATAAACAACATAATTATTGTTTATTTACATTACACAAGCAAAACGCATTTAAACCCATGTTAAGTTTGGTTTTTAACAATGAAAAATGGTGCTGCACATATACTTCATACTGCTTTAGTTTGGAAGAAGCTGTTGCCCTTTAATTTAGTTTCATTGATGCATTCCGGACACATCACTGTTCTCATGCACTTCATACCTTCTCTGTCTCACGGCTGCATTTGATGATGAAGATGTTGGCATAAATGTCCTCCACACACATCCAGTTGGACAGAGACAGAGTGGTGTCAGTCCAAACCCAGTCCATCACTGCTCTCAGCTCCACCAGGAAGGGAACCAGACGAAACCTACAAACACAACATCCATAGCAAACTGTAAACATACTGTACGGTGATTCTAGACCCCTTATACCTCCCTCCCTTTCCATTAGAAACCTAATCTGTCTCAGTGTGTGTCGGACTGGCTTTGTGTCCGTACCCTTGGAAGAGGAACAGGTTGAGGTGGTTGTATTTCTTGGTGAGGAAGTTGCCTAAGATACGAGTGGGGTATCCACAGCGGATCTGATAGGCTGACAGGCCGAAGTAAATACACTTGACAAAGTACCAGAGCTGGGCCACAAAGTTCTGATTGAACTTCCTGAAAAGAGACGAGAGATGAAGAAAAACAGAGCGTGTTAAATCTACTTGAACTCTCTGATTTAGTCCATTGGTGATAACCAAGGAATACCATGAAAACTCCATTAATACAATAAATACATGAATCATTTGACTTCACCTTTCAGTGACAGCAGGCAGGATGAAGAACATCCACAGGTGGATCCCAAACACAAGGATCACCTGAAGGAAGGAAGGAGAGTAGGAAGGGTATTAGGAAGGAAAACAAATCCCCAAATGTATGCCAAGCTTTGATGAACTAGACAGGTGGACACACATCTTCTGGACACACATGTTCATTTGAAGGGGGGCACACCTTTTTGGCTGCTCCAGGCACCTGTACCACAACATGTTTAACACCCACATACACACAAACACACACACTCATCACCAGTAATGTAATGGCATGGAGAGGTGTGCTACTCTATGAAATAAAACATCTGATACTGGCTGTCAGCAGACATGGCTGCCTTGTTGTGTGGATTTCAATGCAAATCTATTACACTTTTACAGGTCAGAGTAGGCGCTTAAACTAATTGGGGCCAGGCGGAGGTCATTTATTTACAGAACTGCAGGTCCAAGTAACTTCACACACAGTTCTGCACAGCCTCTGGTGCTCAGTAACAAACACCAAGTGTGAAGTAGATCACTCAAAGGGCTGAGGAGATCATCGAAACTCAGATACACACACGTGAAACACTGAGATGTCTATTATAATACAGTGATGTTTTTACGAAGAAGAGCAAGGTCACTCTGCAGGACTCTCTGGGTCTCCTTAAAAGTCACTGTCTATCTAGGAAGTAATTGGATGACATGAATTTACAAATCAAATCTTTCAGCTGAAATACAGGAATGAAAATCCACTCATTTGTGATTATAGAGTGCCACAACCCACATCCTGACTTAAATGCATGAATGCTAATACTCTGAAAACATGAGCTGAACCTGGAAGATGAGTTTTCCTAACACAGCCTTGCGCAGGTACAGCGCTCTGTCGATGATCATGGTGCTGAACTGGATGAGCAGCATCACCAGGAAGGCCTCGGGGACCTGGTCCTCCGACAGGGTGGAGGCTATGTCCGCCGCTGCACTGTGTTTCTGAAGGGGAGACAGACACTCTTTGATACAAATATGGAATGTTACATAGTATTTGTATATAATTAGAATATTAACAAATGTGATGCAGCTATTGACTGAGAATTCAATTAACTTTTTCCCATTACTATACATTACATTGTATTTAGCAGATGCCTTTAGCCATAAAGAATCAAACTTACAGCAACAAGAAAAATGTAGGCATATTCACTTCAAAATAAGTTTAAAATTAATGTACTTGCTTTGCTTTTCGCTTTGAAATCAAATGGATTACAAGTGTACTACTACTCACTATTTGAGTAAACATGTAGGTAGTTTCCACATGCACTTGCTGGTTTTGTTAATGCAGGGCAAGCTGTGCTATGTGTCAAAAGATTAGGTGAATGTGATATGGAATATTAGTAAGATGAATTGATATCCTCTTATGTCACATTACTCATCTCATAACTTCAAAACAGCCAGTAACTGTGGTTAGTGGTTTGATAAAGTGGAAACATCACATGATTCAAGTACACACAAGACATGGTCAATTGTGAGTGAAGTTGATGATTTCTTTAACCTACTAAATTCTAAAGTATAATAATTTTTTTTAAACATATTGTTGTTAAGGATTACACATCTTAAGTGTTAATGTGGTGTTTCAGTAGCTGGTTGTATATGTGTTTATGTCAGTCAAACTGCATTTTCTATTAATGTGCAAACCTCATAAAATGCCACAAGCTGCATTTGAAGTACTATGAAAATGGGAGCAAGTCACTACATTTAACATGCGTCTGCTAATGTTTAAATTCAAAGCTGAGCTAAGAAATGAAGAGACGGGGATATTTAAATAAACACGCCTGCGGTTGTGAAAAATTGACTCCCATTTGAGAATCAATAAGTAATATAATTATTTATCAGTGACTAATTACTACTTGTTTTAATAGCTAGGATAGCACACCCACCACTTAACTGCACAGGTGCTATTTAGGCAACACATTTGTATATGTTTAGACTTTATGTTAACAGGAGTGAAATGTCAGTCCCCTGAAAGTGAAGCCAAAAATCTCCATCGCCCCCCAGTGGCTGGCTGCAGTATAGCCTTCTGTTCAGAGAGACAAAGACATCTTCCATCCAAACGCCCCACCCATTTCTCACCCCAAAGGCCCAAAAGCCGAAGATGACGATGATGAAGTCGATGACATCAGTCAGGAACATGAATGCATAGACATCTGTGGCAGTCCGGTACTCAGCATGGAGGATCCCCCCGAAGAAGCTCTGCGCCGGCCGGTATACACTCCGGATCCTGCAGAGGGGACACCATCAATAAACACTGCACTGCTGGAAACAGTAATCACGTTCCCCAAATACATTACACTTTGTACTTTACTTTTCCTATGATTGCAACGGAAATATTTGTTTAAATCTGAACTAACTTATGGCTTCTGTTATGGTGACATCTTATTCTCTATCCTGCTCACCCAGAGATGCAGACATGTTTTATCTTGTGTCCCACAGCCAGCAGTTTCTGACTGGCTTCCTCTCTCCTCCTGCCTTTCTGCTTCTTCTTCTTCTTCTTCACTGGTTCCTCACAGGGATCTGCACTCTCAGCCGTGGCCTCCTCTGGAGCAGACAGAACCAGAACCAATGAGGTCATGAGATTCAAACAGAACAGCAAACCAACAAAAACAATCAAAAATGTACATTTTGAAACATGATGCCTCTGTTCAACGTGCTACAGTATGTGACTTACAGTAGCAGTAACTTAAAGAGATTTAAATACCTAGTAAAGTGGAGCCCAGAAACAGGCACATTTACTGATGAGCTTTCAGAATGATCTTTGTTATTTGGAACAGCAGTGAAACCTGCACATTAAAGGGGACCTATCATGCAAAATGCACTTTTTGATGTCTGTTATACATTAAGATGTGTCCCCGGTGTGTCAGGGAACTCACGCAGCTTCAGAAAATAAAACCCTCTCTCTTTTCCTCCGAACCCAAATCTCTAAAAACGGGGGAACAACGGAGCTGATCCAGATTTGCGTCCGATATGATGTAATATCTGAAATGTGGACCCAAAGCACTATCAGAAACGTTGCTATCAGAAACAATGCCCGACTGTTTTGGACGTAATATGGTCGGTGTTTACATTAGCATCGCTAACACTCAGAGCTAACCTGTACTGGAGAGCATGTGCGTGAAGAAGCAGGAAATAAAAAGGAACTCACCTTGTGGTATAACCGCCAAGAGAGAAAGCCTTTGAGCTCCATACTGTTTCAGAGAGAATCCTTGATAATCCATGATATGGCTTTTCATCACCGCAGTATTTAGTTTACATTACATGTCACTTGTTAGACGCTTTTATCCAAAGCGACTTACATACTCAATACTGTGGACAATCCCCACAGGAGCAATTTGGGGTGAAGTGTCTCAGGGACACAACGACATGCTGACTGCAGCGGGGTTTGAACCTGTGACCCCCTGACCCCAACACCTACAGACAACCCACTGCACCACACGCCTCGCGCCTTTAGACAGTAGCTGCCGGGTCCCGCATGAGCTCAGCGCCCTCCTTTTTTTTATCAGTTATTTTATGTTTAAAGCTTTATACCCCAAATCAGCACTTTTGAAACAGGAAGTGAAATAGAGGGGTATGAGGCCTGGCTAGAATGGGTGATCTGTTTGGTATTTTGAGCAAAACACTTCATAGACATGTTTTTTATATATTTGTATATATCTGAGACCTATGCTATTGCCTACAAATAGCATGATAGGTGACCTTTAAGTAAAAATGTTAGTTCCTTCTCTTCATAAAGCATACATTGAATGCGGATTCCATGCTTTTGTGCTGCTGTAAAGTGTTGTGTCTTGGAAAGCGCTGAGTGTAGTATCAGTTTTGACACTTTGAGCTGTGTTCTATTTCAATCTCTAGAATCAGTTGTAAAAATTATTGCAGCTAACAATAAGAGCATGCATGTTAGCTGTCAGTGTTCGCTCCAGGAACAGCTGAACTTAGCTTACATACATTTACAACACAGCCACACATTTAGCAATCCGTGCAATGGCATGTCTTGGTAGAGACTTGTAGAACACCAAAAAGGTTGTTCAGACAGGATCATTTTCACCATAGATTTTGTTTTCGCAAGGGAAACACAGATGTGCATCAATAACTGCCTGATTTAAGTATTGATTAGTACATTAAGGAAATATGATATGTACATTTTTGACAGCAAACCGCATTTGTTTAAATTTGGTTTAGATGTTAATGAATTTGGGACCAACACTGAGAAGAAGGTTTCCAGCCCTGTTAGATGGTCCAACAAGCATTGAGGTTGACTCATAATGGACCTTATCTTTGGGAGGATGTATTTTTATCAAACATGCAGAATGATGGTGGGATTATAATTTACGACACATATACATCCTTGAATGTGGTACACCGACATGGAATGCAGCTTTGTTAACATGATGAGTCCCAGATCTACCATCTCAGTCCACACATGATCAAGCCACTCACCTTTGCTGCTCTGTTTCTTGGGTTGTTTAGATTTATTTCTGAAGCGGAGACCGCTGCTTTTCTTTGGGACTTCCTCTATCCCCTGCTCACTGTCTCCCTCCATCCTATCCTCCCTAGGCCTGCTGGGAAGATTCTCAATGTTCAGCCCAGACGTAGGCTCCTCTCTGGGGGCTGCCTCAGCTGCAGGAGGCTGTGCGGGGGCAGCAGAGCTGGTGCTGGGCTCTACAAGGTCCACAGAATCCTAAAGGGAGAAAATATGTATTAAAAAAAAATAATATGAAAAGTACTCTAATGCCTTTAAAACCAACATTACAAAATAACATCCAATATCATGTATTGGCACCAACCTTCTCACTTGGGTCCAGCTCAGTGATCTCCAGGTTCTCCAGGGTGGATGTGGAGCTCACTCGGCCCTCCTCCTTGTCCTCCTCTTCTGCTCTCCCCTCCTTCCTCCTTCCATCTTCATCTCCTTCTCTCGTTTTTCCTTCTTCCTTACAGCTCTCTGGTGAGGGGCTCTGCTCCTCCAGGGGGCCTTCATGGTCCCACAGGCCGTACCGCTACACACACACAGGAATTATATTGAGCACTTCTGTTGGAGACAGGTCTACCAAATCCTTTCTCATGTAAAGCTACATTAAGCATCTTGACAGATGAACACTAGAAACATCGGTCTGAGCACAATTTTACACATTATACTAAACTAAACACTAGGGCTAATTAGATCTACCTACAAGAACATTGCTGTTCCTCATCATTAACTAATGAGTAGATTCTCAGTAGAAAATAAAAAGAACAGTATGCTTAAGACTCAGATTTCTACCTTCTTAGCAGTGTGGAAAGGATCAGTGTGCTGAAAGCATTAAGGTAATAACAATAATAGGGAAGGCTGTGGCTCAGTGGGTTACTGCTCAGTGGGTTAGTGTGGTGATCTTCGAATCAGGGGGTAGCAAGTTCGAGTCCCACTGCAGTCAGCATGTCGTTGTGTCCCTGAGACACTTTACCCCAAATTGCTCCTGTGGGGATTGTCCACAGTACTGAATGTGTGTAAGTCACTTTGGATAAAAGCGTCCAACAAGTGACATGTAATGTAATACAAATAAATGTCCTTTACACAGCGCTTTACACAGCGCTTTACACAGCGCTTTACACAGTGCTAAAAGACGCTTAAAGCTGCTAATAAAATAACGAGCTGCAGGAATCCCTTAGCCAGCCATTTTGCTACTGATATCAGTTTATGATATAATTTAAATAATAATTTAAAGTCTTCATTAATATCCCCGTATAGTGACATTGGGCTTAAAGAAATACTTTATATTTTGTTTCACGATGTCACAGGTGATATTGGTTAAAGCTAAACAGAGTAGGCCAATTCAAATCACATCCGCACTTCAGTCATGATATTGATAAATAAGCTACAGCTGGAAACATAAAACAAAAACATAAAATTAAATGACAAGCCTGCTTTGATTAATTCTGTCACCATTGTAAACTGTGTCCATCAGCTGTATCTAAAGTGCATTCTGCCACACAGTTCTTAAGGGTTGAGCAGCAAGAGGAAACTGTCCTAACTGTAACATGTACAAGTGGGGATATTTTGAAAAGTTGAAGGTGGCCAGTTATGCCCATGTGGTTTTCCCCTGTACCACAGCTGTAACACCGCTGTAAAGACTGACCATGAGCAGGGAGCGGTGGAAGAACAGCGCCAGCAGCTGCAGCAGATCGTATTTGATGTAGTTGTCGGTCTTCTCCAGGCCCAGGATGCAGGGAGGGAAGAACGGCTTGTCTTCATTCAGAGTCATCTCATACACACTGTTCCACGGGAAGAATCCAAACTGGAACAGGTACTTCACCACCACCATCACCTGGAGACAGAACAGCATGGCAACACCCGTCAGAGCATCAGTAACCATGGTGACCCCATCACAGCTGTGAGAAGATGTCATAACACTCCCAGTAACTGACTTATCACCAGTAATATTAAAACACTGTACTGTGATGCTATCAATGAACGATAAGGAGATCAAGCGTATGGTTGGGTCTGCCTTTTATCATGTCAGAGCAGGCGGTCCTAAAAACAAATCTTCATGTATTATAAAGTCTAACTTCTTATTTCATTGTCAATACGGCAAAATGTCTTATTTATAAATCACATATCTATTTTGAGTGTTGTCAAAATATAGACACAACTAAAACACCAAACACTTAAAACCTTATCAATTCAGCTAAAATTAATGACTATTTTTAAGCTGTCCAAACTTGTATTTTTGGTCAGTTGGATGCAGAAAAAAAAGCTGTAAACGGAGCATTGGAAAGTATATTAAATGATAAGTTGAAGTGTTAGAATTAATTTGTAGTAGTGTTTGTGTCCAACTGATAAATATCATTTCAATACTCTCTTTACCTTTTTTTTTACTCCACCGATTCCTGAAAATAATCTGTCTCTCTTTAGCTTCTATTGTTCCACTATGTTGAACTATTACTCATCATGTTTTAAATGTGAAGCAGGTTAAGTGGAATCTGACGGAGCTTTTTGATTGAAAACAGCCGTCTGCTGCTTCTAGAAACGATTCAAGCGAAACAGAAGAAAAACAGTAGAGTTGTGCTGCCAGATAGCTCAGGGATTGGAGGCTCATATGAGGCGTTCACTGCCAGCATGTCATCCCTTCTCTCTCCCTTTTTCATCACTGTCTTGACTCAAGGCACAAACACTAGAGTTGTGGGCGATTAAACCCAAACAGAGGAAGGGGCAGGATTTGAACCTAGGTTTTTGATAAGAAAGCATGTGTTGCTGACACTGCCGTTTGGAACCACACAGTGGCACTGCTGTTGTTGCAGCACATGACTCACTCACTCAGAAGCACGTGCCCTCTTAAACCAAAAAAAGGGCTAAAAGGCAATAAATATGTCAGTAGAGCTGAGCAATTGGAGCTAATCCACCGTGAGATATTTGACATCAATTGGTGGATCTTGGGTGACTCCAAAAGTGTGTTTGTTTTTAATATTACAGTTGTATTTTGCACCTCGGGGTAACTGATGCTTTGGGATTGTTTTTACTCAGGTAGTAAAACAAATCAACAGAATTCCCCAGTTTCCCTTCAAGAGTTCTAATAATGAACTTTACTTTCTGGAGTGCATCTCCTCACCTCTGTGTAGACTATGGCAGTCATCCAGAACCTCTTGGTGGGTCTGGGAACAGACAGCATGGCCCACAGGAACACCATGATGGGGAGGACCAGGGAGATGACCGAGGCGCTGACCCCGTTGTTCATCACGATGATGAGGTAGCAGACCAGCTCAGAGTTGGCAGCCAGCAGGTGGTAGAGGGCGAAGAGCAGCTGCAGCAGGCGGCTCTGAGTGTGGTAGAAGTCCCTGCTCTGCTTCAGCTCCTCGATGAAGAACTGCCTGCACAGAGGAGGGAACCAGGAGTAGGTATTCATTCATGATTGTACTCATCACCAGTCTTACAGAATCAGGTTTATTGTTATTAAACAACAACTTACTATTTTAAGACAATTATACTATTAAAATATAGCAATATTTACATGAAATATAGATGAAATATATATATATATATATATACCTGTAAACATGTAATAGAATAAAATAAGTGCAGTAAGTGGAAAGCTGTGCAGATGTAAAAGTTAGCTTTGTGTACCATGTGCACAATTCCAATATCTAATAAAACCAAAATCCAGAGTTATCAAGTAAAACAAAAGTTCAAAAATAACATAATTTTCTATGAACACATTTACTATGCAAATATTGTGGTATTACTGCTGCGATAGACGCATAAGAAACCTCTGAAACCACAGTTAGTCTTCTTTAGTCATGAGGGGTAATTACTTTTTTAGTGATTTCTATCGTTTAGTATACATATATTAACATATTCAACCATTAGACCTTATACATATTTTTATTAGGGTTGTTATTGTTAATGCATAAACGCTTGTGGTTAATCTGGAAACCTTAAGGCGTAAAAAAAAACAATTAATGCAAAAATATGCACATTATCAAGATTGAGTCCAACTTCCTACTGCAACTGCAGCGTGGATGTTTTCCATAATTTGCATGGCAGTGAAAAGAGAAAGAAATGTGAGAAAAGTCACATGTATTATCCCTCACAATATACAAGTAAATACTAGTCTTTTAAACTATTACTTTGATAACAGGAAAACATTTTTTTAATCGATTGACACCACTCATTTTTATTTTACATTGCCCTTTTTCCTGTTATGAATCATTTGAGTAGGCCTTAAGTCAAACTAGGAAGATAGGAACAGCTGGGATGTTTATCTTAAGGTGGCATCTTTGTTTTTGGATCAGAAGATGTTTTGACTAGAGGCAGATATGTTTATGAGTCTAAGAATCAGTTACATTTGCAGTCCAACAAGAATTTGGCAGAATAGATTGTGGAACACAGAGTGACTGCATACTTGTATTCACTTGTATCGTTCATCTGCCGTTTCCCTTGGCCAAGCTTTGATTAAACCTTCAGTATTGTTAGATATTAGTCCCATCTTCCAGAAGCCTCTTTGTTTTCCAGTCATATTGCTCAAAACTGAATTTCCATCCCTGAGCTCCTACCTGTCTCCCAGCAGCTCGCTGGCTGTTCTCGAGTGTCTGTTCTGTTGTTTGCTCTCCACTGGCATCAGCTCCGTGTTGCTGGAGGGGGGGTCTGGAGTCAACTGGTCCCCAGAGCTGTTGAGCCCGGGCCTGGGGGTGGAGCGGCCCGTCACCGCCCTGCTGTCCACCTCCAGGCAGCTGATTCAACACACACACGTACACACACACATTATGGATACAGAAAAAATGTGGGAATCCAACTGTCTAGAGGGGTGGAATTCAGATACTTGAGTAAAATAACTAATACATCAATGTGATAATACTCCATTACAAGGGAAATTCTCACAATCTCTTAGTAAAATTGGAAAAAAATGTATTTATTCTGCAGAAAATTCCTCTTAATAATTACACATATATAATCATATATTACATACAAAGTGTTCATATTTTTGTCTCAATCACCACTTTACTGATGTAGATAAACAAAGCTCTGATACACAAACGATGCAAGTTTACCACTTTCTTTCTTAACTTTTCTAAGTATTTTGGATAATTGCACCTTGTGTATCTTAAACAGTTATTGCACCGGTTTATGTCAAAATAAATATATTGTAAATATATATATATTTTTTTTAAATGTAGCGGCAGAAAGGTATAAAGTAGCGTTAAATGGAAATACTCAAGTTACTTTAAAATTGTACTTAACTACAGTACTTGGTTAAGTGTGCTTTAGTTACTAAGTGTCACTAATATGTTATAAAGAGCCTCACCAGTAGTGACACTGAACATGTTAACAGAATAAAGACAGGCTCTCATTACATCACCTGTTTTTCAGGTCTCAGGCTCGAAAATGACACTTCCAGAACAAATGACCATAACTACACTTGTAAAAAAGGGGAAAATTAATAATCTTTTTTCTCAAAGTAATGATAAACCTGTGAGTTGGATGTAGAAAAGTCAGAATCAATATAGATGTTTTTTATTTTAAAGAAAATTCAGATTGAACATTGATTGTGTCCGTCCAAAGAAAAACCATTCCTTATAGTGGAAACTACCCTTGGATGATGGGATCGAAGACTAAAAGCTTTAGGAATCCAAATTATAACATAATAAGTACCCTGTATCAAGATTGATGCAAAACAAGTGACATTTGACCTTTTTAGAGAGGCTTAGCACAAAAAACTCCACCTCTGTCATTTGGGCTGATCTGGGCGTATTTGCCGTTTTTCTGGAACCCATTGGTCGATATTGATGATTGACATCTCTTTTGAACCGTTAGAGCCAATAGAATCGAAGGGGAATTTCCACATACACACACACGTTACCATTGAGAAGTGAGAGCTATGCGCACGCAGTTTTCCCAAAGCGAAACCTATCTTACGCTCTGAAATCTGAAAATGTAAAACTAGGTTTATTGCTGATGGATTATCAGAAATCATTTCAAAGTGACACAGATACATTGGATTAACCTATGGATTAACCTTCAGCAGCGTTGTTATCGTTTTAACGCCATTGAACACAACTTTTGATCAGAATAAGAGCTAAGGTAAGAAATGTGCAGTGTTTGCTACCTAATGCCACGTGTTGTGATGTCTGTTTTTGTTTCCCAGGTCGCGAGTTTTGATCATGGAGTGATGATACTGATACCTATCTAATCTGTGTATTCTCACGATGCTAATCGATTGGTTGGATTTGCATTTACGATAAGCAATAAGGGTTTTATACCGTGAGTTCTGTGCTAACGGTGTTAGCATTTTTTCGCTCAGGGCTAATTCAGAGGCTCAGCGTTAGTCTTGTGTTTTTTTTTGCTAAAAATAGTTCATATCATCAGTTAGCTGAGTTTCTTCCCGTTACATGGATATGACACATTCATAGTTTATTAAAGAAGCCCTCAGACACTGTTGCTTGCAGATGAGGTGTGGTGTCTCACCCATTTGTGGATTGTGAATAAAAGACACCGTGACACACTCTTCTTCCACACTCACCTGTATCTGGGGAAGTCTGGATCGCTCTCATCCAGGCAGGTCTCCAGAGTGGGACTCTCACTGTCCTGAGAGAGCTGCTCCTCTGTGGAGTCTTCTGTGGCGTTATGCTGTGGAGGGAGACACACCTGAGTGAGTGTATGCGCTGAATGTGTAACTCTAAATGTATGTGATTGGCTGTTGTGTGTACCTGCTGTATCTTGTGTATGATGAAGTAGCGCTCGTTGCACAGGACAGTGGATGTCTCTCTGTACTGTTTGGTCAGCAGGTTCAGCCACTGAGTCAGCCCGTCCACCATGGCCAGAACGACGGCCAATAGGAAGCGCAGGATGTCCAGGATCCTCTGAACCATCTCCCCGTGACCTGTAGCGCCCGGACAGAGACGAGCTGTGATTGACTGTGGATTAAACTTCTGAGAAACCTCATTTTTTGTGTAGGTTTATTTTCATATATTGAGTAGATATAGTGGATACAGCGAGTTATTTTTTTTAATGAACTGTATGTAGAGAAAATATATGCAGAGCAGTCCAAATATCATCACATTTCTACTAGTTCTGTCTTGTTTTATAATGTATAATGAACCTGCTCCTGTTATCATTTCGAATTTTGAACACTAGAACCAGTGTAGTAGAAAAGCCCTTTTCTTGTTTTCTGTGGAGCCCTGATCCTCCCGTTCTTCAGATGATGGGAGCTCAGGTCTGAAGCTTTTGTTCTTTGCTTGTTCTTTTTTGGTAAGTGGAGTTTAGGGTTCATTTAGTTAAGTAATAATTTTTATTTATTGTTTTTGCCATTGCTCATTGTTCTGAAGTTAAATAAATTGCTGAACTGGATTACCTTTGTGCTACTGACTTTGCTTCTTAGTGTTTAGGTTCTCTTAACCCAGACACATAATACATGAGATCTATTCAATAGGATGTGCTGTTGCATGTTTGAACTTGTATCTATGTACTGTCTTATTATTATTATTATTATGGGTAATCATACATAATAAAGTCTAGAATCTGAACCAATTATCTCTTAAGTACTATAAACAGGAAGCCATTCATGTAATACACACTGTCAAAACATGTTGTGAGGGTGAAAGGTTGAGGAAGAAAAACAAATGTGAACCTACCAGACTGCTGTTCCTCTGGCTCCTCCTCCTCCTGAAGGCAAGGGTCCTCAAACACATCACTGTCTCCACAACCTACACTCACACATACAAACAAATGTGGGAGGCTGAAATCATGCTGGCTAAAGAGGAATTATTCCTGAGTATTTCTAAAGGGAAATTCCACTCCTCTCACAGTACAAGTTGAATTTCTGGAAGAAGTTCTGTCCTGCACAGTGACCCTATGATTAAGAAAAGCCTTATGTGCATATAGGTTAGATTTCACTTTATTGTCATTGCACCATTTGTTTTCTCAGTATAACATTAAGCCGTCTTTGGCTCTTTTCAGCTGTAATAATGTACATTGCCCCTCTGTGGGACTAATAAAGGTATTCTGATTCTGATAAATACTGAGTTGCAGTTGCTAACCTAGTTCTAACCATAGGTGCAAGAACTGTGGTGCCTGGTGAGCGTTCTTGACCTGGTTTTATATGTTGGTACAGGAGAGGTCCTTCATGATCTGGCCACCCAAATATTTCTCTTCTCTTTTAGATATCTTTTTGGGCCAGAGGGTGCCTGGAAGTTCAGCAAGCGGGATTCAAACCTGCATACTTGGCTGCGAGCTCTTAACACTAAGCTATCTGGCGGCCCGGCACCCAGAAGTTTCTAACTGGCAACACGCGCATGCCTTTGGTCTTTATTACATCTCAGTGGGCTCTTTGGTTATGTTGTTGTTGAGAGCCACGTCCTGGACTCATCTTTCTTGTTATTGAGGTCAAACTTTGTGTTGTCTGCAAATGTAAAAATTGTATTGGAACACTGTACAGGGGGGCAGTCATAGGTGAAAAGGGAATAGGCGAAAGGACCAAGTACAAAGCCTGAGGGACACCAAATTCCGTGGACATGGAAGTGCAGCCTCAAGTAACAGAGGGAAGTCTTTAAACAAAAATCTCTAAGCTGAGAGATCAGTTTGGACGGGATGATGGTGTTGAAGGCTAAACTAAAGTTGATAAACAGCATTCTCACATCAATCAATCAATGTTTATTTATATAGCCCAATATCACAAATGTTACATTTGTCTCAGTGGACTTTACAGTTTGTACAGAATATCAATAAGACAATACGACACCTTCTTTCCTTGGACCCAAAGAAACCCCACAGATAATGGGGAAAAATTGAACACGCAACATGCGTGTTGCTGTCCAGTTGTCATTGACTGAATGTATCGAGAATCGTCTGTCCCCTTCCTTTTTTCCCAGGTTATCAAACATCAGTCATAAAAGTTGGGATAGTTAAACTAAGTGACCTTAACTATGTCACTAAAAGGATGAAGTTATAGTTCAGGTAAATCTTTGGGGACTTGGCTTGAGAATATTAACATGTTACAACTCATACTGAGTGTAGCCCCTCAAGCTACACAATAATGTGGACTTTCTAGGTGTGTTTTTTTTCAATCTACATTACAGGGTTTACAACGAATTGCATGTTGTAGTCCCTTTATACTACACAAGAACAAACCATAAACAATGTTTGCCACAGGGCGGTAGTTAATGAGACCCTGCAGGTACAGGGATGATGGTGTGTGTCTGGATCAGATAGGAACACTCCTGTGATAGTGATACGGTATGTTGAAAATGTGTGTGACTTCATCAGCTGCTGGTTGTTCATGTAAACAGCAAGAGATTTCATCATGCCCAGCAGCTTTACTAATTTTCCCTCTCAGAAGGAATCTTCTCATTCCCTGCACTCAGTCTTCTGCTGACATGTTGGGGTGCTTTTGCTTTTGTAGTCTGTGATCACCACATCAGCAAAGATGCACAATGTCACTGTTGGTCCAGACTGGTCTGAAGATTGTTGTGGTTCTTCTGGGTGGCAGAATCACCAGTCTGTGCACCTAAAACCTTCCCATAGAGCTGCTGTAGCTTAATGTGGTCACATTTTAACCTTTTATTCTGATGGTTTGACCCTTACTATCAGCTGGGAGTAAAGACAGCAGTAGCAAGGAGATATGTCCTGACGTGTGGATGGGGAAGGGCTTTGTAGCTGATAGGAACATTAGTTTAAACATGTTCCCCCTGATTGAGGTGTGGAATTGCTCTCGTAATTAAGGCAAAGAGTCCTAAAATCCTTACAAAAACAGCATCCGGTTGCCGTCTCATTATGACTTCTAATGAACTCAGAATTCCTGTAGTGCACTTTTGAATTTGCATAAGTAGGAATGTAATGGCAAATAAATTGGCAATGGCAACATATAATAACATACTGTAGCAAAGGTTTATGGGACCAGCTGACAACACCATGGTAACAAAACATGTGTAAGAATATCTCACCTATGGCAGTGAAAGCCTCCTGCTGTGAATCTACTCTCCCTTCTCTCTCCTTCTCTTTCCTCTCGATCCTTTTCAGCTGTCTCTGGTTTCTCTGCCGTTCTCTCAGAGCGGTCTTCACATTGCTCACCCACGCCTTGTACGCTAACTGAGGGAAGAAACAGAAACATCAGAAAATTAGACTCTACAATGTTACTGCTGAAACTTTCCATGCATAATGACAAATGTGTCCCTGTACTTGGATTTCTCTTTTATGGTTATTTGTAAATCAGTTTTGTATCTGACCTGAGAGGCAGTCTGTTTCTGAGGCTTCTGTTCTTCAGACTCCTCTTCATCCTCACTGTCTGACTCAAACAGGTAGTACTCTCCTGAGTGGAGCACTGTGACAAGAACAAACACATTACAGTCTCTCTTACAGTATACTTGATGCCTCATTTGGGTTATCAGCAGCGCATCCTGTTTTTAATCAAAGATAAAAAGTGTTTGCATCACCTGAAGCATGGTCCATCCACGGCTGGTGCCACTTCTTCTTCCTGGAACCCCTCTTGCCTCTCTTGGCCTCTGGAGGGGAACAAGAGAAGGTTAAGATGGGAGGAAGAGGATTCATTCACACGACAAACCTGATAATGGTTCTGCTAATCAGAGTTTTAAAAACATTCATTTGGGTTTCGGTGGAGGTGAATGCCAAAAGATCGTTAAAATGGTTTATCTTTATGTAAACAATGAATGTGCCCAGGAGATTCCATTATATTATTATTGCGTTCATGCCATGTCTGAATAGAGCCACATGTGAGTAGAGTTGATTTTATTGCATACAACCAAAACTAACAGACATCCGGTGGGGGGCTGGTTCCCTGGGCAAGACTCTTCACCTCAAATGGCTCCTGTGGGGATTGCCCACAGTACGGAATGTATGCAAGTCGCTTTGGATAAAAGCGTCTAACAAATGACATGTCATGTAAAAGATGTAATGGTACAGAAAAAATGTAATGGTAAAGAGGTCGGATCATTTTTCATTAAAATGGCCATGAAAAAGTCTTACTAGAGATGACATGATTCAGGAACTTCTGTTGGTAAGGGCCCTTGCTAAAATGTTGATATTTTTGGACCAAAATCAAATCTCGTCTCCTGTACACCCTATCCAGGCGCCACACCTCGTCTATTCCAAACAAAGTATTTCAGTAAGCGTGAATGCTTCTTTGTGTGCTATGTGTGAAACTGACAATTGCAGTCTTGATTCTCCCCGGATACTGTCAGTAAGAAAAAGGCTTAGGTTTCGCAAGAACAACATAATGGGATTATAATAATATAACTTTGTTAACAGTGCAACTTTCAAAAACAAGGTTGCAGCATGCTTTATGATCAAACTAAACAGGTCCTCAGCAGGAATGTGAGTCTCAGCAAGCTGTGGGGTTCTTCTGCACTTTAATAGTTATACATTGATTCATATAGTTTTAAGTAAACACGTACATATATTATCATTAAAATATACTCTAGTAATAACAAGTGGTATGTGAAGGATGTGGTATATCAATGTGAAAACACTAAAGTTCAGTCCACTGTCACAACATTCCTCTATCCGCAGGCTTAGCTGGGTTCTGTGTTTCAAAGTCAAACTGACAAAACCCTGAGGTTGCAGCATCTGCAGATAAAAACAAGTTGACATACGGACAGGCCCAGAGATCTGTTTGGTTTCCTGATAGCTTCTAGTCGACCAGTAAACCTACCAGTAGTGTGACTCTCAGTAGAGTCTTCACTTGTTTTGTGTCCACCTTTGTACTTCTGCTGCTTGGAGCGAATCCTCTGCATCCTGAGAGGAGAGGACAGAAAGGGAAGGGCAGGAAACAGAATTCATTATATAATACATATGATCTGTGGCCCTAATGTAAAGCTACATCTTCCTGGTGTCAACTATGGTTTTCTTGCCACATCCAATCCACTAACTGAAAATGGTGGTGTTTTTTTGGCAGGCAGGTCTTAATAAAATATTTTTTAAGTTGACATTTTATTAAATTGGGCGCTACAAATGAATTGTGCAAAAACATTGAGACAAACTGATTGTCACATTCTTATTTATTAATGAATGTATAAACCTGTGGTATCTAATATGTGTTTCAGCACGATTTCTGCTTATGTGCAGAACTGTCTGAACATTCAAAACATACCCCACAAAAATCTACCTGATCGATTCCTCTGTTGTTATTGTAGTATCCCCTTCAGAACAAACTTAATCTCACAACCTTTTTGGCTTATTGTCTACTAACATTTTAACTTCACCATCTCCAATACAGTGCAGCTCACAGCCTCTTTCCTCAGCTTCAGTTAGAAGAATCCTGAAGTAGAGACAGTCCCTAACAGACCAAATCTGTATAAGCGCGGTGGAGCCAGGGAAACGACTCATTGCTAAACAATTCACATTTGTTACTTCAAGGCTGGATTATTGTAACTCTTTATTATCAGGGTGTACCAAGAAGTCAGTCAAGTCGCTTCAGCTGATTCAAAATGCTGCAGCTCGTGTACTAACCAGAGTTAGGAAAAGGGACCACATTACTCCTGTTCTGGCTGCCTTACACTGGCTCCCTATAGAACACAGGATAGAATTTAAAATTCTTCTTCTCGCCTTCAAAGCCCTTAATGGGCAGGCGCCATCTTACCTTAAAGAACTCATTATACCCTACTGTCTTACTAGGGCATTGCGTTCCAAGAATGCAGGGTTGTTGGTTGTTCCTAGAGTCTCTAAAAGTACAATGGGAGCCAGAGCCTTTTCTTATCAAGCTCCACATTTGTGGAATCAGCTTCCAGTTTGTGTTCGGGCGGCAGACACCCTATCCGTTTTTAAGAGTGCGCTTAAGACCTTCCTTTTTGATAAAGCTTATAGTTAGGGCTGATTAGATTCAGCCCCTAGTTTTGCTGATATAGGCTTAGTTTGTCGGGGGACATCTTACTTCTTCCTTCTCTCTGTCTATACCTGTGTACTCTCATGTTCCGATTAACCCAGCTTCCCCAAATGTCTTTCTTTTTGGTGTCTATATACGCCGGGATCCGGAGTCATGGATGATCCTGCGCTCCTCTGTCCTGGATCGCGAGCCCTGGATCTTGAGTCGTGGCTGTGGTCCTGGATCATAGGTCCTGGATGGATATCCTCGTGGATTCATCTTCCTATTATACACACATGCATTTCCAAACATTTGGACTACCTATGTTGCAAATGTATTATCTTTTCAATTTACACACGGCATCTATTGCACGTCTGTCCGTCCTGGGAGAGGGATCCCTCCTCTGTTGCTCTCCCTGAGGTTTCTCCCATGTTCCCTTTAAACTGTGGGTTTTCTTTGGAAGTTTTTCCTTGTACGATGTGAGGGTCTAAGGACAGAGGGTGTCGTATTGTCATACTGATATTCTGTACAAACTGTGAAGTCCACTGAGACAAATGTAACATTTGTGATATTGGGCTATATAAATAAACATTGATTGATTGATTGACAATGTGTTGATAACTGAGGGTTACAGTCTGTTTAGGTTACAGTAGCCTATGGACCTAACCAACACTAAGGCAATCACATCTTCCACGATCACAAATCAGAACAAAGATCAGGTGTCCATATGCTTTAAGCCAGACAACATATCAGCCAGAGCCTACAGCCATGCTAGCAAGTTAAGGGGATCTTTCAACCAACACCTACAACTTCAGCTGCACAGTAACATAAGGAACAATCAGAGGATCACCAAAGTCTGGGCGCCACAAATGTCTGTACAAAATAAATGTATTAAAAACAGGTGGACTGACGAACAATGCTAACAGAGCGTTCACCTGCAACCAGCCTTCTACTTTCTCTTTGGTCCACTGTTACAACGCCTCTCCTGAAACAATGTCCATCAGCTGCACTTACTGTAGTGTAACACTTACGATCTCTTGAGCTGTGACAGAGACTTCCTCTCAACCTGTTGGTGGAACTTGATGTTCTTCACGATGCTGGCTCTGAAGAGCTCGAACCCCCTGAAGAAAGAGACAGACGTCCCAGCATTTGGTGAGGCTAATGTGACATGTAGACAATTATTTGAATGGTTAATGAATCTTTGCAACTAATTAAAATCTGAATAATTCAGATCTGACTGTTTCATTTTTAGCAATGTCAATCAAGCCACTTTAAATCAATGTTGTTAACAATTATAACCCAAACAATTCAGAGTGGGGCGAATACTTTCTATTGGCACTTTGCATAAATTATACTATAGTATGTCACCTTTTTTGCGATCTGTGATAAAATATCATGCAATTATCTAGGTGACCCCTTCCTCACTCCCTCATCAGTCACTTCCTGGTGTTACCTGAAGGCCTGTTTGGCAGAGGCCTGCAGCTCTGCGGTCACATGCAGGAAGTAGAAACTGAGGAAGACCCTCCTCTGCAGCAGCAGGCACAGGAAGCAGATGCTGTCCCAGATGACGCCCGCCTCCTCCACCGGGAGGCTGCACGTCTCATCACTCACTGCTTTTGCTGTGGGGAGAAAACACACCATTACACATGTGGCTTTCTGCAGAACACTACTGTGTGTAACTGCCTCTGTCAGGTGGGACTTTCGGATATAATAGCATGTGAATGCAATGTTGTTACATAAAAGACAAGCTCATGAATACACAGTCAGAGTTTAAGCAACAACAGAACTGTCTAATGTTGATCCAGTTTAAGAATTAGAAGGAAAAGGGATTTATTTTTGTTATTAATTGTAATGTTTAATACTAAATCAATTGTCCTTTATTAACCAAGATAAAAACAATGAAACACAATGCAAGAATACATCCCCTATGTTAGCTTATCTAGATAATAGCCCAAGGAATAATATGAATAAAACACTTACGGTCATAGTATCCTTTGACCGTGCACACCAGGCTGAAGAGTTGAATCACCCAACAGAAGCTCTTCTGCATCTCAAACACGAACACACACGCCAGGATCTGAAACACACACAGAGAAAAGGAATATGACTGGAGAACTTCTATGCATCTTTAAGTTTGAGAAAAACAACTTTGAGTGGCAGTGTGAGCTAGAGCGGATGTGTGCAGATTCTTTAAGAGGATTCATCCACAGCGGGCACATGGACCTGATGACATCACTAGCCGGGCCACAAATAGTCAGAGGAATCGATGTACACGCCAAACGTGATAAGACATGATGAGCTGTATACTTACTGATAGCATGTTTTTAGAAATGATGACAGCCACGTTGTACATGATGAGACAGTCCCATAGGGTGAGGCGGGTCCTGGAGGACTTCACCAGCAGCCGGGACCCGAACAGCAGGAAGAAGAAGCAGGCCAGAAGGTAGCCCAGCCCGAACACAGAGATCCTGGTCGCCCCGGTGATGAACACCACAGACAGCACGAACCATAAGAGGTGGCGGAACACCAACACCTTTGCCATGTCCAGGTAACTCCTGGGGGGGGACAGGGAGAGACAACATTAATGTCCAACACATTTTAAGTCGATGACGCAACTTTAGATTACCAACATCTCTAATTTACAAATATTCACATTCATGTCAAGTTAATAGTGATTTGAACGACAGCTATCCAAGCCTTACATAATATCAACAACAGATTTAAGCTTGTGATAAATATGTTGGTATTATTCTGTGTACATGTTAGTTAATAAGAAATATAAAACTGCATTACAGAAATGACATGTATCCTTATCAGAGAGGCAGACAGACAGACAGAGTACCTGCAGTTGATGAAGTTGGGGGCGGGGTTGAACAGTCGCCCCTCCATGGGGTCGGGGTTGTCGGTGTTCTCTCCGGCCAGAACCATCCAGTCCTCCGTGGTCTCACACTCAAACACCTTCCACTGCTGAGACGCACACACCAGCAGCACAAAGTCCGCTGTGACACACACAACACATCATCATCATCATCATCATCATCATCATCATCATCATATTTCTGTCAGCAAAAACACCTTAATATTGCTCAATTAGAACACTTTAATAGTGTTGGTATGAGATACCTGGACTTTAGCTGTACTTTAGTGGCTCTTTTGTTAAATTGAGTATCATGAATCACAAATAGACCAGGACAGGGAAACCTGAGTCACTAAAGGCTTTAAATGTGAAGCATCTGTGCATGAGGTTTATTCACAGTAGCTTCACACCAATTAAATGGAATAAATAGCAACGTGGATGGGATGAGTTTAATCACAAACAGAATGACAGTGAAAAACATGGCTGCTGTACACTAAGATGTACACAACATAGATTGTATAAACTCAAACACACACCACTGACCTATGAGGTTTTTGGAGTTGGGCACGGTGTAGAAGTCGGGCAGATGGATCCATTTGATGAGAGCTGAGTTAATCAGCACTGGAGTGTTCCACCTCCACGGGTAGTCTGCAGAACAACACAGGAAACAGATAAGTAACGAACATTTGTTACACAATTCTACAGTTTTCCACAACTCTGCAATGAATGTCTACAGTACTTTACCTTTAGTAGAGTTCAATATGATGCCATGTTTCGCACAGCATTCATTAAATATGACATGATATTACTTTTGGAATGAATGAAACATTGATGTCTCCCTGCCAAGAAACTGAAACAAAGCCCTGCTAAAAAGAGAACCATTATTTTATTTTAATTATATGCATAAAAGCTAAAGTAATGTGCGCTTGATATACCAACATCATCTCCTGATCAGCTCAATTACTATATAACAGCAGACCAAACTGAAAAAGACACACACACACACTTTGCTAAACATTTTCTTATAACACAGTGTAATTTAAATAGCTCTAAACCTAGAACAGCTTTGTGGGTATTTTGGGGAGATATAGGGACTGGGAGCGTAAACATATTTATCTAAAAAAGGGACAGACAAGAATTTTCATGCAATATAGGCATAATGCTCCAGAAGGATGATTCACAGATGAAACACTCCCTCTGCGAAAAAGCTAGTGGAGCAGAGATTATCCAATAGGTGGGTCAGGACTTTAGCTATCCACAAACTTTGCAAATAAAACATATTTAATGTACTGGAGTGGTTACCATTAGATAGTATGGGGAACAGCTAATAGACTGGGACCACAGGGCACATTGGGTGCAGGAAAACTGGGCATATTATAATATATAATATCTCCATAAACAATATTGGTGTTACTCACAAACCGAACATTATTATAAGACACTGTTGCTGTGTATTGTAGAAGCTCTTATCTGGACATGGACTCACCCATACAGATGGCAGGTGGGATGCCCACACACAGCAGGTACTGGTAGATCATGAAGATGGACAGGAAGAGGCAGTATTTGGGCCAGATCCTGGCCATGGCTGCCCGCCGCCGCCTCACCAAGATGGCTACCAACCAGCAGCCGTGGATTATCACCAGGAAGTTCATCCGCTGGCCAATCACATTCACCGTCATCAGGAAGCAGATCTTTCAAAAGAGATCATTGTTATTTTACTACTTGATTGTTATTTTTTGCAGTTAAAACTTTATTGTTTGGAAATATTTTAGTGTTGTTTCCTTTATTTACTGTCTTTTTTTTTTTTTTAAATGATTTCAAAAAAACCCTGGTAAAGCAAGGAAGTGATCTCGAGCAGCTACACTTTACCTCTAATCCGAACTTGTAGAAGGTGTAGTTGATCAGGTACTTGAGGCAGGGGAGGATGCCCTGGTCCAGAGTGTCCCTGGTAGCGGGGGGGAACAGAGCGAGGACGATGGGGGGGGAGCGCTGGAGCTGACGGTAGTGATGGGCCTGGTGACGATACACTGTGGCCTCAAACACCAACAACATCAGCACTATCAGATGGTTCTGCAAAAGAGAAAATACAAATCAGTCAGGACACCAACTCAATCCTGAGTTCAAAAGAGAAGTGAAGGAAAACCCAAAAAAGATTTAGCACATTAGCAATACTGGTTCAAACGTCTCAAAGTCAGTGGGCTTTTTTACGTGATTACACCAGTCTGTACCCACAAACTGAAAGATTGACAATAAAGTTGACTTTGACTTATTGTTAGATGCATGAAATAAGGTATTTGGTTAACACACGCTGAAGAGATATTCACATTTTTGAATGAGACATAAAATACGTCACTAGATACCCCACTGGTGAATGTCCAGAGCTTTTTTGTGTCTTAAAAACAGCAGTTGCTAACAAGTAGCTGAATGAGACGACTAAACATCATTGTTAGCTTAGCGGTTGTGATGCAGCCCTGTGATTATGATGTCGTTTTCTATCCTAACGTTAGCTCATTAATCCGGTGTTAAAATGTGTACATGTGTTTGTCAAAGAGGAATAGTTTTTCTTTTGTCCAGCTCAAAACATAGACACTAAAACAGCACATTTACTCATCCTGTGTCCAGATACAACAGGGTGTCTTGAACATACCTTGCTGTATCCCAGAACAGTCACATCTTTCCTGATTCCAAACCATTTGGCTGGATCCACTGGGTTTTTATACAGGGAGGAGTTCATCATCTCCTCTGGCAGCAGGTTGGTTTCATTTGATAGAGGCTGTGAGGGAAAGAAACATGTATAAGCGGGAGAATCAACACCGTATAACCCCAGCTCCCACTGGATCACATTATTATCCAGTGATGAGTTCCTCTACAACACCTGCTGCCCCAGCTTGTGGGAGGAAACAATTTCTATCTATTTTGTTTTGTATTGAACATATCTAGTGCAGAGCTGTTTCTTGAACAATAAGCAGGGTTTAACTTTCAGCCTTGAGCTGAGCTGAGCAATGCTACAGTCCTGGCAGTCTCATAAGTCACATATCTGTGTAAGGTGACGGTCTATTGATAGATTATGACTGGATGATCAGAAACAATGATGATGATAGTGAGCACTTCTCCTTTGCCGAGATAATCCATCCCACCTCACAGGTGTGGCATATCAAGATGCTGATTAGACAGCATGATTATTGCACAGGTAGAATGCCTTAGAATGGCCACAATAAAAGGCCACTCTGAAACGTGCATTTTTGCTTTATTGGGGGGGGTCTGGGGGAGTCCGAAAACCAGGCAGTATCTGGTGTGAGGGGTAGGGGTAGGGTTAGGGTTAGGGTTAGGGTAATGTTGTGAATCGAGTGGCCCATGGTGGTGGTGGGGTTATGGTATGGGCAGGCGTATGTAATGGACGACAAACTCAGGCCACTCGATTCACAACATTACCCTAACCCTAACCCTACCCCTACCCCTCACACCAGATACTGCCTGGTTTTCGGACCCCCCCAGACCCCCCCAATAAAGCAAAAATGCACGTTTCAGAGTGTCCTTTTATTGTGGCCATTCTAAAGCACACCTGTGCAATAATCGTGCTGTCTAATCAGCATCTTGATATGCCACACCTGTGAGGTGGGATGGATTATCTCGGCAAAGGAGAAGTGCTCACTATCACAGATTTTTTCAGATTTTTGAACAATATTTGAGAGAAATGGTTATTTTGTGTATATAGAAAATGTTTTAGATCTTTGAGTTCATCTGATAAAAAATGGGAGCAAAAACAAAAGTGTTGCGTTTATATTTTTGTTCAGTGTAGTTAGCTTACAGTAGCTAAGCATCAACCTAGCACTGAAAGATGTTATGCTACAGTATTTCTGAGAAAAAGTCAGCTGAAATGGTGGCATAGTTGCCACTGCTTTACATGTCGACAGCATGTTTGAACGTATTTGCAGCAGTAAATGTGGCTGTTTGGCCACTGACGTTGCCATAACAACACCTGAATTTAAATGTGCAACCTCTTTTTGTGACAGATTTTTGCAAGAAATTATAATTCTTCTGAATTATATTCCTATTGACAGCTAGTTTCTATGTGAACATTATGAGATGGACAGCCAGAGAGAATACATGAAAAACAGTTATGAAATACTATATGACAAAAGAATACAGTTTAAGTGATTTGTAAAATATCCATAAAGAAAAATCTGCTTACAGTTCTGTTTCATATGGGTGTTGAGAGATGTATCCATAGATCTCTTAATTTTGCTCTCAAAGTGCACCAGATTGATGCTTTTAACTTCAATATTTAAAAAAAAAAATCCCTGAACGCCCCTAGAGGAGGTGAGGACCCCCTTAGAGTAGGTGAGGACCCCCCTAGAGGAGGTTAGGTCCACGGTGTTTACATGCTTATGCTAACATCATAAGACAAAAGTTGGTTCCGTGTTTTGTGTAGTGAGAACGCGCTAGAGTGAGGGGGGCCCCCAAGCCAAAGCTCGCTTAGGGCCCCCAAAAGTCTAGGGCCGGCCCTTCACACAGTTCGTATTTAGTCTCCTGATTTTTAAATGGGAATTCAATTATTTGAGTGTTCCCAAAGCCCCGGTGTTCTGCAGTTTGTGTGGGCCTACTGTACTGTTGCACTGTTTATGCTGTAGAAACTATGTCCAGGACAAGGTATTTGGAAGTTTTGGAAGATTCATAGCTAACCACACTGAAGATTATGGATTATCTCATATTTGTAAGCCTCAATGTGTCCTTCCCCCCCCCCCCCCTTCTAACATCACCAGAAGTCATAATTTAAGGGGTCATTTCTCACATTTTCTGGTTTTTGGGTGCAAAATCTATTGAAGTCAGAATTTATTCCAGAACTCTTTATCCTGGATATCTCACAGGTGTCTGTGCAGTTAAATCCTATCTAGTGTTGGACCTGCATTCAGCTCTGCCCTGAACTAATTCATAAGAATTTGAAGCTTTTAGAGTATTTTTGTTTTTGAACCTTGTATCTTTCCTTTTAAGATACTTTTTCTCCTATCCTTTCTTGTGAATTCCATTAATTCTCTCTCCTCTGCAGCCAATCCGGCCTTTGGTGGTTCAGGTATCTTACTGTGGACTTTTACTGTATAGACCGTCTGAATAGAATAGCACCCGACAACTAGTAAGCAAAACATCTTTGTAGCAAGACTTTCAGTTTGACCACAAGAATAACCTAGGCCTGGTTCAAACTCAGCGCTACATTGTCAATTATGTTCTAATAAAGCTTATCTTTATGTGTTGCGTATGTGAGAGGCAGACACTTCCACTTGATCTTAGTTGTTAATGGAGAAATATGGTACTCTTTAAACACATACAGATTTGTAAGACTGTAAGTAAGTCTGAAACCAAAGAGAGATGCTCACCAGGCTGCAGTTACTGGAGTACTCTGCTGGGTTGACCACACTGAGCTGGTACAGCATCTTGCACATGATGATGACACACACCCAGGCTGTGGACAGACATGAGGCCATGGGCCCGAAGCGAGAGAAGGGCATGGCCAGGGACCAGAGCACCACCAGGACCAGGTTCATCACCGAGGGCTGCACAAAGAGAACACAAACACTTCAGTTGTATTATGGAAAACATATAGATCTGTGCAGATCATTCATCTCTGAGGCTCTGTGTTCCGGATACAGTGCTTTCATAACTCATTCACATCCTTTACAAGTTGCTCATCCAAAGGCAAGATTACAGTTGTACTTATTATGTTATCCCTTACATTTTTCTCAAGTGCTATACTCAAGTCAAATGTTGAAATACTTTTTGCTACTTTATACCTCCATTCCACATTTTGGAAGCAACATTTTTTACTTTCAGTCTGCTACATTTAACTGAAATCTAATTATAGATTCAGATTATTAGCCAATACAAAATGTAAATCAACTAATAAATAAACTGGTATATAATTATAGGTTAAGATATCAAGCAGCAGCTCCACCTTTACCAGCTGTGATGAACACATTCATAATTGAGTGTACATGATTCAGAAATCAGCAGACAATTGTTTTACTTTTGGAATGTTATGTACATTTTGTTGCCAATACTTATGTACTTTAACTAAGTAAGGTTTTGAATGCAGGAATTTCAAGTTTGTACTGCTGCTTTACTCAGGGAAAAGTCTGAGTACATTTCCCACCACAGGTTGTAACATATGTTGACTGGATGACTCATATAGAAAAACAAAACATTGATTAAAGTGTGCATGTTAAGAAGATAAAGAGGTATCTGATTTTCTACACTGTTTTATTAATGTCTTTCTCTCTTAGATGTTACCTCCTCCAGGGACACCCACACAGAGAAGAAGGCCACCGTCTTGAAGATGTGGAGCTCCAGGAGCCTCCAGATGAACACTTGCACTTTGGTGAGGTTGTCAGAGAACCTTCTGGACAGAACCAGTATCCTGTCCATCACCAGACCCCACTTACTGGGGGTCAACTCCACTGAGAGACAGAGAGAGGAGACTCAGAGACAGAGAGAGGAGACTCAGAGACAGAGAGAGGAGACTCAGAGACAGAGAGAGGAGACTGAGAGAGGAGGAGGATACATCAATGGAGGAGTCCATGACAGATTTAGACACCATCAAAAGTCAATTTTTTATTTATCACTTTTTATTTGATTCCCAAGCTTTATTTGACTACAACTAGATACAGTGAGCTGATGGATAGAATCTATGTTCAGATATTCAGGCTGTACTTATGTTCAAACTTGGTACATTTAATTAAATATTTGTGTCAAAAAGTTGCATTGTAATTGTAAGAAGAGCTTCTCTCACCTTCGTCTTCAGATTCCTCCTCCATGTTGGTCACCAGCTCCTCCTCTTCAAAGTCAGTCTGCTCAGTCCTCTCCACGCTCTTCTTCCTGGAGGAACATGCGATCATTAGTTTCTTTTAAAGTAAACATTTTAATTCCCAGGGAACACATGATGATGGGAAACTTGAGCATAAAAAGCAGAGGTATGAGCAGGGACGTGCACAGACATTTGGAGGGGCTATTGCTCTGGACTGGAAAAAGCCCCCCCCCCCCCAATAAAAAACACAAGACCTTTTGAAAATTGTAACTTGTTTTTAATGTAAAAGAAACCAAACGATTATTACATCAACTAAATTGAACAGTAATTCACATCTCATAACAAAATAAGCTAAGGCGACTACTTGCATTCGGTGACTTGATTTAAAAAATGAAAACCAGGGAAATTTTTTGTTTTGCGGTCCATATCTCATTAAAATATCTAATGTTAGTAACTATTAAAGACACAATGGGGACAATTCTGTTCTAATGTAGTTTGACCATTGTAACTGCTGTGCAGACATACTGATAAAATAGGGCCTCTAACTAATTACCTTTAAATAAACTCACAAATTAATTAAACCAGTTCAATACGCATTATTCTTATTCTTATCATTCTTTGTGAGCGCAGTAACGGTAAGGTATCTAATTACTTATTTATTTAGTATTCCATAACTTAATAACAGAGATGGTCAAACTGAAGTAGAGACATGGCAGAAATCCTACAATGAAGCAGGACATTGAACTGTTCACCCATGAGAGGGCGATCAAGAAAAGAGAGCGAGCGGCCCCGTTGAGAGAGTTTACAGATGAAAAGACACAGAAAGACAGAAGCTCAATAAGTAGGCTATATTTAGGTGTTTTTTTTGTAAATAACCGACGGTATCAAGAGGAAGTACAGTCCCCTGGTTTGTCCCTTATACCCTAACTGCCATGAGACAACTCAAAATCAAGTTTCCAAAATCCGACACTGAGGTGGTCTTAACGCACCGGCAAATGACAGTGCTGACAAAGTGTGTTTCCCGCAGCGAGACGCTACAATACTAATTGTGGGCTTATGTTGATTCGGCCACAACAGAAAAAATAAAAACAAACTCTCGCTCTCTCCAGAGGGGCAGGTCAGCCAAAAAGGCCAAACGGGCCGTTGCCCGGGCAACATTAGCCCGTACCTGTGCACGTCCCTGGATATGAGTGTAGATCTCCATCTGTTGCTGTGACAGGAATATGGTGACCACATTCAGTCTGTCACAGTGGCCATGAAAAGAGAACATGACGTTTGAAAGACTCAACTATGCTATTCAAATTCCTTGACATTCATTCATAACAAAAAACATTTTCTTTAAATTAAATCAAATGCTTTGTGTGTGATAACATTCATTGGAATAACTAAGACTATTTTTATGATCAAAATATTTTCAAAAAATTCAAAAATCTAAAGTAATTGATTATATGTATAATATGACCTCTGGTCTACCAAATTAATTTCACAATGCTTCGGTAAATGTTGCCATAAAGAAGGACAATTCTGTTGCTTTTTTTAGCTGGACATTTTTTTTTTCAAATACTATAGGCGCTTTCACACCGCAGTACTTTTCCCACAAAGGTTCATCAGAACTTAGTTCATGAGAACTCTTTAGTTCTCATGAACTAAGTACAGATCTCGTTCACACCAGTCTATGGTTCACACCGGAATAAGTCCCTGAGGGAGGATTAGGCAAATGAAGCCGCTGACGTCACTTCTTCTTCTTCTGCTTTGGGTTTACTGGCAGGCCGCAAACAACTTCACGGCGTATACTGCCACCCGAAGTCCCCGGCCGGAAGTCCCCGGAGTTGGGGACTGGCTTCAGTAGAAGCTGCTGGGAGTGCTGCTGAAGCCTTCCGAGTAAATCGCCAGAACGCCGACACCTCCTCATCTCCACCGCAACCATGTTTTATTTTGTGTTGCCATAAGTTAGTCTCTGCGTTTGTGCGCTGGGCTAATGCTAATGCTAATAATGCTAAGGCGAGGATAATAAAATGGCGGCTTCACAAAACCTTTCGGGAGTTTGCAATCAACAGGGACGGAAAAGGGGGTAAAAAGGTTCCCATGAACAAATGTTTGTTCCGGATTTTTTTGGTGTGAACGCAACATTTCGGAACTATATCGGAACTAAAGTGGGAAAAGTACTGCGGTGTGAAAGCGCCTTATGTTTGAGGTCTCAACTCCCTAGCTCCTCCTAATGTAATACTGCTTAAAATCTCATTTGCATCCCACACATATTATCAGTTTTATACAGAAGTAATTGGCAGAAGAAGAAAAGTCATTCACATGCTGATATGACGCAATGTGAGGAGTGTTTAGAGAGTGTTACTTGTGTATGGGTGTGATGTGCTCCAGGTCGGTGATCCTCATGAAGGGCTTGTGGAAGTAGTGCAGCTGCAGGATGCAGGCCAGCAGGAAGAAGCCAGGGATCAGAATACTGCTGAAAAGCTCAGAGAGAGCGAAGGTCTCCAGACCAACGGCTGCCAGCCTGAGGAAGGGGGGAGGTTACCATTATATACACTTATCACTTCAGTTTGAATTTGTATCTATCTTTGTCCTAAATGACTGTTTAGACAGCCTCCATTTGCTTTGTGGTGATGTCTGGTATGTTATAGGGCAGGGATCACCAACTACATTTGTCCAAGGGCCCAAATTATTCCTAGAGACACTTTCGGGGGCCAGCTATTTTTATATAGCCCTGAATTTTGAAGTTGTTGACCAGGGGGGGGGGACAGTACATGAGCACGCTCATGTACTGTCAAGTCGCGGGAGCCTCGTAGCGGGGGCTACTGCAGAGCGCATAAAGCAGACTCTTCACGCTAACGAAGGATCACTTCTTCTTCAGGGCAGGGAAGGCTACGCAGTACGCAGGCTACTGTCCCGCAGGCCGCAGCTGCTGCCTCTGTTGGATTCCGGTACTGCACATTACTCACGAGACGTTGTAAAAGAAAAATGAGTGGGGGGCGAACGCACTAACCACTTCGCCAGCGCCACAGCGCGTGCCGGATGAAAATGTCTGGCGTGCCAGATTTGGCCCGCGGGCCGCCAGTTGATGGTCACTGTTAAAGGGCATGTACACTTAAAAAATCGTTCTGCTTTCTATAAAATCACAAACTATAAATGAACGGCAGCAGAAAGCTTCTGCAGCTGAAAAAGACACGGGGAAATGGAAGCAGCAGTGTAGAGGAGTAAATAAGTCAGAGTCAATATACAAATGAGCGTTATGCATTTACATTTTTCGTATTCTAACCATCAATTGATTGAATCCGAGTAGATGTAATTCTGTAATATCTCATAATAATTCTGATGTTTTAAGGCCCTGATTTTGTTGCATTAAGAGAGAAATCACATAACGGGTGGTTATAATTATTGCAGGTGTGTTTGTTCAATAACACCACAGGGGACAGGAAGCTTTAGTTTGTAGACTTTCAACTTGTTGGAATTAATATATATCTCCCGTAGTGGTGTGCATTTAGTTTCGGTGCCTTTTATATATATAGTCCATCGAGAAAGAGACAGGAAACCTAAAGACCCTGACACGTACTGTTCCTCTGTGAAACCGGTGAAGTTTCTCCAGTATCCGGGGAAGTCTTCAAACTGGTAGGTGTAGATGGAGATCAGCACCAGCATGGTGTATGCCACCACCAGCCACCAGAAGATCTTCAGCAGACGCCTCCACAGGGAGTAGTACACCTGGGGAACAGGAACAAGTCACAAAAACACAATCACAACCAGTATCAGAAACCCTCTATTCACCCCAGAGCAGAAACAATTACAATGATACAGCAGAGGTGAACGTGTAAGTAGTGCGAGACAAAGTAGCTGCCAGTAATAACAAGATTACATTGTCATTTTGTTGTAAAGAACTACATATTGCACAACAGTGGGGTTAGTGTGAGTGTCTGTCTGTGATCCTACCTGGTAGAGGCACAGGCAGAGCAGGAACAGCAGCATGTAGATGATTTTATATCCAACAAGTTTCCCAGCGAAGGAGACCATGATGAACATCCCTCCACACACGTAGATCCAGTATTTGGCGTAACAGCTCATCACCATCCCTCCCAGAACCTTCAGAACCGACTCATTAGAGGACCCCTCCTCTGAAGGAGAACAGGAGGAAGGGGATTTAATACTCTGCATTCAAAATCTTACTTAAGTAAACACAAAAGAACTGGCATTACTTATGTGTTATCGCCCATTTCAGAATCATATATTTACAAGTTTATATTTTTAACCTATAACTATTTGACAATGTTTATATATGAGTTCATATATATAATATGTTATATTAGTTAGTAAACTGAATGTGTAACTAGTAACTTAAGCTGTCAGATAAATAAAATAAAAGCATACAATTAAAATACTCAGATTAAACTTTACTTGGTTAATAAACTTTATTATTTCTACCACTGGGGAGAGTGACAGTAAACACGGATTCACAAACATGTCTCTGCAGACTGGAAACATATTTCTTCATGTGTAGAAAGTTTGTGTATTTGTACAAAGCTAACTGGTTGATGGTGATGGTGGCACTAACAAAAGTCTACAGTCTATAAAACAGAGTTGTACATCTCGATTTGGTTAATCCTCTGATATAATAATGCTAGTGTAAGGGTTTTAATGAAGTAGGCGTTTATCCTGAAGCAAACTCTGACCTGCCGAGGGACTTTTATTCTTATTAATTTGGCTGAAATACCACATTGGATTTTTGGGGGCTTGTGTGTATACAGGGGGGGGGGGCTTGATATCGGTTAGGTTTAGGATTAGGGTTAGGCATGTGTTGGTTATGGTTAAGATTAGGATAAATCTCCAGGAAATGCATGTAGGTCAATGTAATGTCCCCTGAAGTGATGTATACATGGTGTGTGTGTGTGTGTGTGTGTGATTTATAGATGTCTGACCTCCTGTAGTGACCTCCTGAAGTGGCGTGGTCATTTTCCTCTTCCTGCTGAAGTTTTCCTTCACTGACTGACGCACCAGCAGCCAGAAGGTTAAAGTAAACAGGAGCTGGGGGGAGCCAAAGAAAAAGAGAGAGGGATGGAAAAACACAGAAAACACACGGAGAGCAAGAATACACTTCACTGTGTTTCTGAAAAGTGGAAAAAGCCAACCCTAACATTAAAATGAACCCTCCCTGCACTCAGCTGTTCAGAGCAGTACATTATCATAGAGAACACTAAGTATTCAACCAATATCATGGTGGTAACCGACCTGTGCATAACTTTCATTTTGGAGAATATTTACTGATCATGTATAAGAGCCTAATTAATAATAATAATAATAATAATAATATAATACATCTTATTTAAAGGCATTAATTGTGTTGTGTTAATCCTATTGTCAGTGTCTTGAAACTCACCTTGCTCCGGGCAAAAGGCTGAGCTGATGAACACCACCTGCCTATATATAGGTGCCTGGCTAATTGGACTGTGCCATTCCCCTCAAACCTTGAGGGGTGTATAAAGAGGCCACTACATTTAAGCCACACATCATTAGAGCCTTCTCTCCCCTGCACTCAACAATGGACTGGCCAGTAGTGCTGTAAATTCCTGCAGTGTGGAGATGAAGGCTGGGTGTGTGAGTTGCTCTTTGGAAGAAGAGTGACGTTTGTGTTTATACATTCATGCTCGATCCTAGATTGTATCTGTTTATATTATTAATAATACACCTTTTTTGTCCTCCTAATTAGTGTGAATGGTGTGCAACAGCATTCACACTATAGTTCTTCTGTTTCTTTAATCTTCTTCTTCTTCTTCTTCTTCTTCTTCTTCTTCTTCTTCTTCTTCTTCTTCTTCTTCTTCTTCTTCTTCTTCTTCTTCTTCTTCTTCTTCTTCTTCTTCTTCTTCTTCTTCTTCTTCTTCTTCTTCTTCTTCTTCTTCTTCTTCTTCTTCTTCTTCTTCTTCTTCTTCTTCTTCTTCTTCTTCTTACCAATATTTTGCCGTCGAATAACTTCAGCCTACTTTCAGCTACAGAAACCATTCAAATATCAAAAATATTCAGCCTTTTCAGCACATGATGGGAAACTTTCAACTTTTTCAAAATATGCTATACTTTTGAAATATTCAGCTTTTTAAACTCTTTTTTTTAACATGTAACTCAATGGGAGGAACCTTCAAATCCTCTTTTACCTACACCTTGCGCCAAATGCTTCTCCTTCCACATACTTTCAGCTAGACACTTCATTCCAACTTTAAAAAGATCACAGGACCTTCAGCTATTAAACTTGTGTTCAGATATTTTCTACACTTTTTGAGATATTTAACATTAGTGTGTATTGTGCCGCTCGTTAAGTCTAGAGTGCTTTGATCTCAAAACAGAGTGGAGGAGAGTCTGAAATTCGCCTTAAACATTTCTTTTAAACCTGCCATAAATCCCAAACCCTACACTCCTGAGACATAATTTTTCATGAAAAACATAGGAAAACCTCTCCTAGGTTGGAAAATAAAAAAAAGTAAGCAAAATAATTCAACAAAATGCCTCTTGAGGGCATGAAGAGACAAAAACGTTCAACATGTCTCCATTAAGGCCCATTGTAAATTCAGCCTGATCTTTCCTCAGAGCAGCAGCTGCACCCCTTTAGTAAATCTGCCAAAAAGGCCACATTATTGACCCGAAAGTGCACAAAAAGCAGACTCTGACGCTCCTCACGGTCCTGACATCCTCCATGCGTTGACATTTTTTTTCTCATTGTTTCTCATTCAGAACGATGGAAAGGCTCTCCTTTCACAGCACATCTCCATGGAAACCTTTGATCTCAGGGCTCACGTACACAGGTGTTTGATAACGTTGTCACCATGGTAACCTTCGATCTCTGGGCTTACACCAGTGGTTCTCAAAGTGGGGGGCGCGCCACCCCAGGGGGGCGCAGAGGCATGACAGGGGGGGTGCGAGAGACCAGGAGAAAAAATGGTTATTAAATTATTTTTTTTGAAAAGATTAAAAAAATAAATAAATCATATTTTGAAAAATTATTGATTCGAAAATAATATGATTCAGTACAGTACTATTACGTCTGGGTGTCTGTGTTTTATTAAAGCTCGGCTCTGTGTGTGTGTGGAACGAGCCATTTTGTGTGCGTGCGCGAGCGAGAGAGAGAGAGAGAGAGAGCGCACCGGTACCGGAGATCGTTGATGTTAGCTTCTGGTGCTAGCGAGCTACGCTAACGGATATAAGGAGTTTTTTCAACAACAAAGTGGAGGAGAGTCCTCTCCTGTCAGACTGAGAGGCTCAGTGAGCTAAAGGACTCTCTCAGTGTTATCTCAGTGGGTCTCAAACGTTTTGGTCACCATTAATATAAATAAATTAAAAACAGGTATGAAATACTATATGACATTAAAAAATGTATAAAGTTTAAAAGGGGAGTGATTTGTAAAATATCCATAAAGAAATAGTAAATCTGTTTACAGTTCTGTTTGATATGGGTTTTGAGAGATGTATCCATAGATCTCTTCATGTTGCTCTCAAAGTGCACCAGATTGATGCTTTTAACTTCAATATTTAAAAATAAATCTTCCCGGGGGAGCTTGCCCCTGGACCCCCCTATGTGAGGTCCACACACCACCTATACAAATAGCACTTTACCCCTGCTTACACCTATATGCCGTGAGCTGATTATCGAGCCTTCATTGTAACAGTCGCGGGTACGTTGTGTATTTACGTGGGGATCGTTGCAGTAGAACATTCCACTGTAGCGCCCGGTGCATTAATGGGAAACCCTAAATGTTAGAGCACCCTCTATGAAACGTCAAGCTACCCCACAGCACCCCCAAAATAAATCTCTGACGCCGATACTGAGCCTGACTATTTGTGTTGGGGGGGGCCCGACTTTTTTTTTTCTCCAAAGGGGGGGCCTGACAGAAAAGGTTTGAGAACCACTGGCTTACACACACGTTTGATAACGTTGTCACCTCAAAACACAAACACACAGGCTGGAGTTTAAAGACTGTCTCAGCCTATTATTTTCTGTCTGATGGAGACTTCATACTGACTTCAACACGTTCCACATATTTTATACATTATTGGTGACGTTTGGTTTTAGTTCAAAAGTTTGCAGTTAAAATATTCTGCTGCTTTTCAAAGTGTTTTTTCTTTCTTTTCTCTTCTTAATACACATCCATTCACTACTACTTACATTTAATATCTAACTCCATCAGCCTACTTTCAACTATAAACCATTCAACTATTAAATTATTCAGCTATTTCCAGACATTGAGGCTATACATTTTGTTGTTTATACCTTTTGTAAACCTTTTCTTTTAAATATTAAGCTTCTTCACTATTTTTCCTACTCTTCCAGTTTAACCTTCTGGGAACCGAGGAAAAATTATTAATATTAATATTTTTTATTTCCTACCTATTTCGGGTTAAAATAACATCTCGCAATTGAGACTTTTTTTATTTTATTTTATTTATAAATGTTACAGTATGTCCACTGTAGAGGACGTCGGGACCATTTTAGTTTGAAAAGACAGCCAAAATTAACAGATAGACTATGTAACGTATTATGGTTATAGAGTGATATTAATACAAGAATACATTCACCTTTATTTAAAACATAAATAAGTAATTGATCTGAACATTGCTGTTTATTTGGTCACTAAAAACTAGTTTGGTTTTTGGTGAATCTTTCCAGATCTTCAAAGACTTTGTAGTCAATGTAGTGGGAAAGTACCTCATTGACTCCAGTCAGCACGGGCTGTAGGGTCATCTTGACTAGTTTTATGGATGTTGTCTCCATTTGACCATGCTCACAGAAACAAAGCTTGCATTCCTGAGGCAACTCTCATTTTCTCATGGCTCCACTTAAAATAAAAACAACAATAAGACATACGTGCTACTCTTGGCCCACAGAGGGCCATGTCTTTCCAGCTCGTCCCTATCTGTCTCTATGTATCTATCTGTGCGCTCATGGAGCCTCCTGCATCTTCCCCCCCTTCTTCTTGACCCTCTTCTATCCCAGGTGTGAAAGCCTCATCTCTCTCATCATCTGAGAGCTCAAAATCTGAATCTCCCTGAACTTTCTGGTACAGAAAATGTCTGCTTCAGTTCCGTCTCCTGCAACAATATTGAGTCATTAAGTCCATGAAGATAGTCCTGACGTCCACTAGAATGGACATTTATAAAAGGGCTGTTATTTGAAAACTTTAATTATTTAATTGCTTTCAGAACTAATTACATAGTTCCTCACATGTTAATAAACAAGAATATATATGATTTTCATGGTAAAAATGACAATTATTCAACAATATTTGACTTCTCCTCCTGCTTCTATAAAATGTTGTTTTTGGTATGCCAGCCATTTTGGATGAAAAGAAAGAGGAACTTCCCAGAATGCAATTTTAACCAATGTCATATCACTGGAAAGAACAGGATGAAAAAAATTGGATGTCAAATGTTCAGCTTTAGAGCTAATTATCTCATCACACAGTGCTCTAAGGCAAGGGTTCCCAAAGTGGGGGTCCCCTCGGGGATGATAACAAAATAAAAATTGAAAATTAACAAAATAATTATTTTATTTTTTTATCAATTTTTTTATTTTTTATTATTAATAATAATAACGTGTGCATAGACCTTTTTCGGGGGCGGACTTGCCATGTGTATAATTTCCCCGCAATGAGGCTCCCCCTTTGACAATCCACTAGCGCAGTGTTTCTCAAACTTTTTCATACCAAGGACCAATTAACCAATAAAAAACACTCATGGACCAGCTGACTGCACAAATATCCAAAAACTATAGGCCTGCTTACCACTCCAACAGTATATAACAAATTAAAGCCTAATAATGACAGCTTAACCTTCTCTATATCGCCACGTTCACAGATGAAATCAACAATACATATACAACCACAGTTTATATAAGCATTTAGTTCAAATGCGATTTAAAATGCTCTCAGGTTTTACACCTCTTATGAAATGTAGACTGCATTTATTACGGAGTTTATGTCGAACAGACTCACAGATCGTTGGCTACTGAGAGAAATGCAAAATACACCGCATAGTAGCCTACGACACAAACCTCCGCTGTGGATTTTCAAAACAAAATACAGTAAAACTATGGTCGCAAGCCCAAGTTTAACTCTCTGAGGCCTGCATGGTCTGCCTACAAAACAAAAATAAAAAACGTTTATGCTGCCCCAACAACAGCCTCTGATCATCAACAGACTTCATGCAATGCTTCATCGGATGCATTTGTTAGCTTTATCTAACCCCTAACACATCTAAATCTACTTTTAGCATGTATAAATATTCATAAAATACATCCATTGTTTGTTCTATATGCTTCTTGAAATCCAAAAAAACCCATTGTTTTTCTAGAACAGATTACAAATTGCCTGAAAATGGTACAAACAAGTGGCAACATGTGTGACGAAGGTGTTGCGCTGGGCTATATCATGAAACTTAAGCTCGCTCCATTGCGGAGTTATTCCCGCGAGAGTGCGGAAAACTTAAATGAATTCACCCCCCCGTTGACAGGGGGTCGCCAGTCTCTGGCACTGTTATTTTGGGGGTCGCGGGCTGAAAAGTTTGGGAACCCCTGCTCTAAGGTGAGTGACTTTATACCAAGAACAGAGACTCTCCTGAACATTTTGATATGTAACACACGGGGTGCCACGTATAACAAGTACATTTAAAAGGTGATTTAAGGAGACTTCTAAAAAAGACTGAAGAGGGTTAATGCGCTGTTTTTGTATTACTATAATGAATGAATACATTAGGTGCATTCTTTATCACCATCTGCACCTGGCTCGCCGATAATAAATTATCATTACACCTGGGTAAAACAGAGTCCATTCTCTTCGGTTCGAAACATAATCTCAGCAA